GTGTTAGAAAATTGAGGAAACGATTTGGTTTTCCACATGTCTTTTTGTTTTCAAGCCATCTCTTTTGAACCAAGTCTTCAAGTCTTTCCCTTTTTTGCTCAGGTCGTGCCGTTTTTCGTTTCAAATCATCCCTTTTCGTTTCAAACTTAGCTCCTTTCCCTTTAGTTTTCCACGTGTCCTTTCGTTTTGAAGCCTCCTCCTGCGTTTCAAGTCTTTTCCTTCTAAGGTCCTGCCTCTTTCGTTTCAAGTTACCCCTTTTTGTTTTAACACCTATGTTTCGTTTCGGTCCGTGAGCGGGCCCTAAAAATGTGCAAAATCTTCCCGTGACCACAGCATGCCGTCACTTGCGGTCACATGCGGCCACTCGAGTGGCTGCAGGTGGCTGCAAGGGACTGCTTTTTCGAAAATCAATTTCCGCGCCTCTAGTGGGGTTTAATGGGGTTTAATGGGATTTACTTAGCTAAGTTGGTAAATATTACTCCAATGACTAGGGTTGATGGTAGATCTATCAAACTAGATATATCATGGGGCCAACGTAAACCAAGTTATAACGTTCGGTGGCCCCAGCTTGCAGCGGAACCTCTGATAACCAGACCTGGCATCAATAATGTGTGTAGATGATTTTCGGAGACATATATTTTCCATTGAACTCGAGGATTTCCCATTGCTACATTTGATCACTCCCAAGCTGCAACTGACATCAACCGACAGGGCCCCCTGTAAAGTCTTCCCACTTGATGCCTTGCTCTGCTTGTCCATGGCAAGGCGCGGATCTGGAGCAAAATCCTGCTATACACCAAGAGTCTAGCTCATGACTGGATGGTCATCTCCCTGTACCATAGCTATCCATGGCTATCCAGTGGTAGAGTTTCGCAACGATTCTCTATTCATATCCATTCCACTTTCAGTCATCAACGACCCACTCTGACCAAGCTTTGAGCCATAAATGTGCTCCGAGCAGGCGGAGAGGTTCATCCAATACCATGACCAGAAGATCCCCGAGAAACTCGGAACATTAAAAATGCTCAGATTGACCCCCAAACCAGGATTTCCGGAAAAAGATGTTTATTTTCTTTATGAATAGAGAGAAGATATTCTTAAAACAAGCGCCTAATAAATATTGGCAGCCATGAAAATCACACTGCACCTCTATCAGTGGCTTATAAATTTGGTAATGTGGCAAACTCAATCATAACCTTTCAATTAGGGATGGTTTTGCAGTTTTCCCCAATCATATCTGGTAAAATTGGGGATCAGGGTTACTCCCGACCCCTTACATGGGGAGAAAACAGGCTACATGGAGGTGCAAAATGCGCAAAATGACTCAGAAAAACCTCCCCTTGGGGCTTTGATTCCCCTATAAGTTGGCCCTTGCCATCAGAACCACTCAAAAGATCACGATGAAACCACAAAAAAAACCTTCCGTCAAATGGGTCTACCGCTAGATCACATCTTCGTGCGTACGGTCGATGCGTCGCCTGCGTCGCCTGAGCTCGGGACGCCAGTGAGGTCCAAGCCCAACTGCTTCACGGAGGCATTGGCCAACAATTCCACTGCCTCCGCCTCCGAAACATCAGTGCTGGGCCCAAAGAAAGAACCAAAATACCCAGAGAAATGATTAGATTCAGTAGTAAGCGGTTGCTTTTTTTAGTTTGGGGGTGGTTTAAAAGAACTGATGGGGAAGGATTGTATCACAAGAATCATGGAGATCTAAGGGTGGTTTAATCACAACAACCACTAAGAAGGGCAAATCTTAAGCAGCTATCATTGGGGGTGCTGACCTCTGGAGTTGGTGAAATCCCCATGAAAGAACAATCTGGAAATTTGAGCGCGGCTTTTGGGGACAACTGTTTAGATATGTTTAGTCTGATTGAAGCTAAGAATTCCCAAATATTCCCAATCCGGCTCCAAGCTCCCAACAATTCCAGTGCCTGCTTTTCGCTGGCCGGCCAGAACTCCTGCTCCGCCCCCGGCTCCGCCCCCGGCTCCGCCCCCGGCTCCGCCCCCGGCTCCGCCCCTGGCTCCGCCCCTGGTGCAGCAATTGCAACAGGTGCAGGCGGCACAGTTTTGGCAGGCGCAGCGGCTGGCAGCTTGGGGTCAGGCTTTAGGAAGCCCAACCTCCATGCAACACGCGATGGCACTGGTGATGTTTCAAAGCGGAAATTCGATGACATTCGACTAGGTCCAAACTGACGGATTGATTTTCACATGATGGGTGAATGCTATCCCGCTGGATCCCAAAAAAAACTGGATCAAAAAACAGGCATGACATGGGTCATTAAATGTCCCCATTGAACATCACCCAACATTAGGTATATGGTCTATAATGGCTACTATAAGGTGATGTCCAATATTCCCAAAATGATCAAGCATGATTTTGCAGGTCAAACAAAAAAAGCCTCCGGATTCATCGTCTCCAAGGAACTTTAGAGGCCTCTGCGACTGCAATGCCTCCAGAATCTCCGGTTCCTTCAAGTCTTTCACATCTTTCCCATCGAGGCTTGTAAGTTCATCTCCCTCCTGCAGTGTGCTGCTTAAAAGTCGCTACTATCTGCGTTGTTGTACCCATTTTGGTACGGAGTTTGTGAACCAAGTTTGAGCAAGTAAAACAAAAACTAAGACTTCAAGCCGGCCGCAACCCACAGTTGGTGGCAAGGACGCTTGGTACATTGTCTCAAAGGGTTAACTTGCCAATCAAAGAACTCGCCGGGCTCCGGGTATTGCCATGGTTGTACTTTGTTCAGCCCTCCACGCACCACAACTGCGTCTGTACTTCAAGCCCTTTTGCTCTGCCCATGATCCGTGCAGGACTTTGCTGACCAGCAAGCCGCGACCTGTGTCAAAGCCACCCACCACAAAACCTCAGTTGGTTTTGAGATATCCTGCAAGGTCGGCCCACCAGTTGTGTTTGTCGGTTTTTAAACCCCTTCTAAATGTATGTATATTATGTATGTGTATATATATATATATTATATATATATACACGTATATTTATGTGTTGTATCATATCTTATATTGTATATACATATTATATCATATTATATCCACCACAAATCCTAGTTAACCTAGTTGTAAACCAACTTGGCCAAGTATGGGGCACCACCTCGTGCTGATGCCAAACAAATGCAATCCAACCTGATTCATGATCATTCATTTCGTTTTGCTGGGAGATTCATGATCATTCATGAAATCCTGTACAGTATGACGGTGACTAGTCATTAGTTCCATGGTTGGGTCATAAGTCATATCCAATCCTGCGCATACGATTTGTTCACTTCAATAGGTTGATCTGAAATTCTGCAACCTGCGAAGCATGGCAATGTTTGCTATTCAAGTGATAACTTGGCACCGACCAATTTGGTGATCAGCACTGCAAGCAACATGGGATGTCAGTCCATCGTGTTAAAGTCGCACGGATGGGTTTGTCCAAAACTAGAGTACCCAAACGAAAATCCTTCGAAGATCCTTCGAAAATCCGTCGAAAGTGACATTTTCAGTGCCATGACTTGAGGGGTTCTTACCCAGCATTTTCACATATGGAATCCTCTTCCAACTGGCGAGACGAAGGTCTTCCAACTGGAGGCATCATGAAGAAATGGCTCTGGCGACCCAATGTGGGGTTCTTGTTTGGACGCGCAAATGGCTGGTTTTTTTCTAGTTTTTTAAACCACGAATTTTGGGAGGTCAGTAATTTTGAGCCAGTTCCAAATAGAAACAAATTTAGTAATCCTCTGTTTGCAGGGAAACTATGTCGATATTCTGCTGCCGGATCATCTTTCGCACAAATCCTGAACAAGCCTTGCAAATCAATATCAATATCAATATATATATATATATGTATATATGTCTAAATTATATATTTAAAAAAAAACTAACCTGAAAAGTTTGACTTCTTCTTGGGATAATTTCCCTCTGCATTCACCATCATTCCGGTGAGGTCCCCAAAGGGCACCTGGCGCAAAAACTCACGCCGAGGCACCCAGTTGGGCATCCCGTGACTTCGCATCCAACCTCAAAACAGGGGCGGAACCTGCACCCTTCAACTCATGTACACTCCTACACTCCAGCAGACTAGCAGAACCATGGAAAATCACCATGTTTAACGGGTAAATCATGGTAAATCATCATTTGTTTATCATCTATTTCTGTGGGCCATGGCTGCCATAGCAACCAATTAGTTTACCAGAGGGTAACACAACTGTGGTCTCTGGATACTACCCCATTTTGGGTTGCCAAATAGTATTATTCATGTTGTAGGTATGGATCGGTGAGAAGGCTTCCCACGTCACCATTTAAAGGCTTTGGAAAGTTAGTTGCTCATTTTTTTTGAGAAAAACACTTTGAAGAAGAAAAAGATGGTGAATCATAATTTCCTATTCAGTTTGCCGATTATAGGACGAATCCACATTATCAGACACAAATATACTATTGAACTAGCTAAATATATTGTATCCCATTTTGCCCCCACGATATAGCCATCTATGGTTTAGGCGTTTTCCCACAAACATCCGTTATCAAACGTGGTGTTCGCCGCCTCTTCGACTGTGTCACAAGAGCACTTGTCGACATAAGCCAAGCACATGTTAATTCAAACAGCTTTTGTTCACAAACTGTAAAGTAGATGTTCAACATACTTCACCAACTTCGACAAATAAACCCATCAAAATCCCATTAGGAAAACACCCCATAGAATCGTTGATTCCGTCATTTGACCCACCTAACCCACCAAGCAACATGAGCACTCGGCTGCCCATCTCCTTCTGCACCAGATCCGCTTCGAAGATCACCGCCGCCGTCTCGGCCTTGTGGAACTCGCTTCGGAGCTTCTGCAAGTCCTGGTGCCGGGGCCACCACCCCGTTGACCAATTGTGGCTGAACGATTAAAACCAGAGCCCTACACCAGTATCACCACATAGCAAATCTAGGAAAAAGTGAAATCCTATAAGTAACTCTATACTAAATTGCTCTGCAATGGTAATCATCTATGAAAATTGATTGTTCGATCTTTTTGGGGGATTCCAAGTCAATGTGGATCATCAATTCATATCAAATCCGTTGAAAATTCCAACCTCCATGGCTCGAATTTGATCTGCCACCATACCTCGGCTTCGCCAGAAATCCATGGGATGACTGAGATCTCAGTTTTCATGGCACTCGGTCACCCTTCGTTCAAGTCTTTATTAATGGCTTTGGTGATGAAAATGTTGTGTACCCCAAAAAACCCAATGGTTTTGCTGATCATTATCACTCAATGGCTATTTTTTTGGGGGTATACCCCATTTTCAGACATACCCTTATGGGTGTCTGTCTTTATGGGCCTCCCCATGCCGTGATCAGGTCCACAGTCAGAATTCCCAAACGCATCAAAGCCGAAAGCCCATCTTTCCAAACGGAAATACCCGGCCTGGTAAACGTTTACAAAAAACTATGGAAAATCCACCCATGTTCAATGGGAAAATCCACTATTTCTATGGCCATTTTCAATAGCTATGTTTGTTTGCCAGAGGGTAAACACAAAAAGAACATCTATGGTTCAAGTTTCCCCGAAAATCCACCTCCCATCCCCCTATCGCCATCCCAACCCCAACCCAGCTGCTGTTCAGTTCTTCCTCCCGCTGCTGGAGCTTCGCTTCCCGCGCCTCCGCCGTCAGCGCCAGCGCCTGCGCGCGCTCCTGGAGGCTCTCAGCCAGGTCCGCTGCTCGGTCCCTGGCCCGTTCGGCCATCGCTTCGGCAGACATCTCCTCAGCGATGGGCTGGGTGGAAAAGGAAAAACGGGACCGTTTCAAAAATCCTATGGTAACTACCATGAAAAAATGAATGAATGTCTGAAAATCCCATGGTTTACCATAAGAATCCCCATGGTTTTAACACATCATAAAATGGCTGATGTTCCCATTAAAATGTTGGATCGAACTCCGGAACTCCAAGGTTCAGCTTTCGACACTGAAGATCTGGATCGACACAGTGGCAGCACTTTGTGCGGATCGATCATTTGCAGAAGATGACATGTCACAGCACTTTAATGATGGTTAATGATGGTTAATACTGGTTAATATTAATGGTTATTATTAGTTACTGATGGTGAATAATAATCTGGTTGGTGGTTGGTTTCTACCCCTCTGAAAAATGATGGAGTGCACGTCAGTTGGGATGATCAAAATCCCAACAAAAAATGGGAAAGTCATTAAAAATTCCATGGTTCCAAACCACCAGACAAAATCGAGCAAAAGCAGGACAGAAGCCCAAAAGGGCCAGGCCTAGACTTGCCTCCTCATCAATTCTGTGCTTTATCATGCTTTATCTATAGGATTTTCCTGGTAGCAGAGTTTTCTCAAGCAGTAAACCAGCCAAAGAATTTCCTCGGCCTGATCATGGCCGTGTCTCCATTTCTTCCACCTTTTTCTCTTGCTTTAGAATGGCATGATCACGTTTCCGCAGGGTAGCCATCAAATCTTCTTCACCTTGCGACAGAAAACTGCCACTGTGATCTTGATGGATCCACTTGATGGTTTCATTAACATGAATTAAAATGTTGCGTTCACCTGCAATTTTGAAGTGGATCAATCTGATTCCTGATTCCTGGAACAAAATCAATGGATTTCCATCATTTTATCCGATCCTCGTCAAAATGGTTCTGGACGTCGAGAGCAGACATTCTAGAAAAGAGATACTCCTCCCAAAGTCTCTTGCCAGCCTCATTCCCAACGCTTCCAGAGAAATGCCACCAACAAAACCACAAGAAAAAAACACGCAAAATCTCCCAAACTCAGCATCTCAACCTTCACCCCCTTAATTGCCCTTAATCTCCCACCTGTCCGCAAGGCCAGCTCCCTTAGTCTCAAGGAGGCAGCCACCTGCTGCTCCGCTTTGCTTTCGCCCAGCAGCTGCTGTTCCTTCTCTGCGTAGCGACTCAGCGCGTCGCGTTCCTTGATGGCCACGGCATTCTCCCACTTCAGCACCTTGAGGGCTGAGCTTCAGCTTATCCAAGAGTGACTTGGGGGAGATAAATCCACTGTTGGGTGGGGGGGAGGGATGTATCTGATGTGGTACATCCTGCCATTTTGTGCAACGGTTTAGACGGGTGGCAACTGTGGAAACTGTGGAAACATGAAGAAATCGTAGCCACTTCTGTGTCAGGTATCCGGAGAGTAAAGCTTTGGGAACATTGGTTTTGTCTGAAAATCGGCTACAGGATGGGGCCCCCCAGTTATAAGTTGCTTTATAAACCATGATAATCCCCATCAACTATAGTCATATCTACCATAAACCATAGAATTCAACCACTTATAAACCAACTGAACGCTATCTTTGGTGCCCCATCTTGTACCTATCCCCAAAATCCCATGGTTTCATGGTTTCCCATCCTTTTCCCCATTTGGGACTGCCTCCTGAGCCGCTTCGTCTTCCATCCTTCGGATCTCACCTGAGGCGTCGTTTTTTGCGGTTGGAGATGTCAAGCCATTGGGCCCAATGATGAGGCTAAAAGGGTCCAGACTGAACTTTCCCAGCTCAAAAACTTCTTTCTTCAGCAAAATCATCAAACAAATCATCCAGAGCTCCCCCCATAGCCCCCCTGGCCCCATGGCCATGGCAACCCATGGCCTTCTTGTTTCATCACCTCGGCGCGCGCCACTTGCGCCTCGCTCCGCGCCAGTTGCGCTTCACTCTGCCCCTGCCGGAGCTTCTCAAGCTCGGAGGCCACCTCACAGTCCGTGGAGAGGAAACTGCATGGTTTTGCCAGGAATTACCCTGGCAGATAGGGTTTGGAAGACTAGTTTCCATTAAAAATTGGTGATTTTCAGGGTCTATGTTAATTTACCAGAGGGTATATGGGAGGGTCCTTAAATGGGGGTACCCCAATAGCTGGATGGTTTTTTTCGTGGAAAATCCTAAAGTAAAGGATTTGGGGGTACCCCCATTCTAGGAAACTCCCATGTAGAAGGTTCCAGCTTCAATTGTTCCATCTATATATAATATACATAAATCTGTGACACAGTTCAAATCCACTGCTACTTGAAGGATCATCCCACTTAGCAAGTGGCTAATAAGCCTGGTTAGTAAGTCCCCTGACCGGGCTATCACATGTACTCATGTGGTGGAGCTATGGTCACTAACTAGTTACTAAATGGATTTAGGCATTTGGAGGTATACCATGGTATATCACAATATGATGTGGACCAGCTTCCATTTAGGAATTCCCCATAGTCTTTAATTGGGCGTAATTGGGCTATATTTCTTGGTATCATGCTCCATCAAACCAAAGTCGAGAAAAACTCACACGCTCAACTGAAATAAAATGTTGAATCTCCTCCTTTAAATTTATGTGAAGCTCTGATAGCATCAAGGGTGAAAGCCAAGCAAGAAGCTCAATGCAAGGATTCTGCAGTGATTTTTTCTCAGTCGAAAATTGCCAGAGGACCAGCGGCAAATTTTTCACCAAAGTGGTCGGGTCTTATTCAGTGCGGCAATTCTCACTGCGCCGGCTGCCCGCCACGCCGTGCAGAGTTTCAGAAAACAATACTAATGTTGTAGACATTCAATCTCTGCGTAGCAAGCACGCACCAAAGGCATGCAGAGAACATTACAGCCAAAATTTTTGCCACACCCGAATATGAAAAAATAGGAGACTCATCCATTCGGTCAATATTCAGCCTTTTCTTGAACCTGAAGTGGAACTTCAACATTGCTGAAGTCAGCTTAGGACAAACAGCTGAGATAGCGATGTCATCCAGCCCAACCACGAAGGACAAAGCTGTACAATTCAAGAGAACCTCTGTGTTGCTCTTTGACATGATTAGAATATGCATTCCCGCAACTAACATGAGGGGAGACACTGTGCGCTTTGCCAGCTTTAAGAATGTGACAGTGTCGAAGCATCCATCGTCAGAAGAGTTCAGAGCGCGAAGAAATATAGAAACTTGGTTTTCCTCAACCACGAACTGCAAGAAGAACACCCACATGCCCATGACGAGCAACAAGCTATTGACATGAAGTTCCTCATAGCGCTGGAGGACCAAAGGCATGGAAATATCTTCAACGACTGTTTGGTTGGCAAGCTGCCGCCATGTGATGCCATCGAATCGCATGAAGAGAGTCATGCCGACCTGACAAAGGATCGATGCCCACAGAACCACAAGCACAGCCATGACGTGAAGCCATTCACCCCTGGTTGAACACCTTGCCCGTGCCGCGAGGAAGCCGATGTAGTAAGCATCCTTCTCCAGAGCCTCCACAATGTAGTTTCTCTGGTACTCCTGGTATTCATCTGTGTCATGATCGGAATCCACCAGGACATCTTTAAAGCACTCCTCCTTCTCAAGGTGTGCAGCCAGCCTCTCTTTGGTGCCTCGTTCGAGAAAGTGAAACTTGCTGCTACTCAGGTCAGGCTCTGATGAGTCAGATGCTGGGGACTCCACTCCCGACCTGCGGTTAGGAAACGCTGAAAATGTGTCTGCCCTTAAACCATACATGAGCCCTATCTCCTTTTCCTGAAAATTGGCTTGAGCCTCAACCAAGAGAAATGTGCAGATCATACGCACACGATACTGTGTGTTGTTTTCATCATGGTGTTCCAGCGCTCGATATCTTCACACTGCAGGGACCGACTGACATTTCATCTTCGGCACCCGGCAAGAAAACGTGGACGGCACTGAAGATGTGGAGACCAGGGAAAGAAATGATGCAAAATCATCTAAAATCCAAAGAAAACCTCCGTATCAGCGAGTTTCAGCAGCATCCAAATACTCAGATACCCCCAATACACACACACAGACCAGGACAAAAATGTAAGTAACACCTCCCAATTGTGATTTTCCGGGATCTTAAGGGCATATTCAGATCAGATCCTCCCTTCTCCCATCCGCCTCTTGCATGGCATAGTCCCGTGCATGGCTCCGAGCAGCAGCCGCCTCTTCTCGTTCCGCTTTGGCGGTCGCAAGGGCTGGAAACAACAGCTCCTGGGGGCAGTCCCTGCTCTCCACTGTGGGAGGCTTTCTAAGCGCTGGAATATGTTGGGTCATGGTGGAAATACCCTCTGGTAAACTAACATAGCTATTGAAAATGACCATTTATAGTGGATTTTCCCATTAAAAATTGTGATTTTCCATAGCTATGTTAGTTTACCAGAGGGTACCATCCATGATGTTCGAAGTTGCTGAGGAAAGTTTTGGACACTGATACACCCATAGAAGTTTTCCACAAAGGGAAGGTCTGGATGCTAGAAACTGATTTCACACAAGTCATCCATCTGGACCAAATGCTTTCTTTCATTTTTTGAAAGAAAAGGCCTCGGTTTCCACATGTTTTCACATCACTGTGAGGTCAGCTCTGTCTCCCAGATCCGCGGCCCCAGCGACCTTCTCGCGTTGTTCGTACTTCACCACTGCTTCCGCTTCCAGCTCCCGTTCCCGAACCTCCGCCGCCTGTAGCATCTCCTGGATAGGATGAGATACTGCCGGGGCTACCCTGGAGATATTTAGGACATATCCATAGTTGGATCGGTTTATAAACCAAGTTATACCTGGGGGGAGCCCTTCATGTGGGGATCTAACTTGAAATTACCAACCAAAAATAAATCCTCCCCAACCGAAGAGTTTGAACCTGGTCATTAAAAACGACTTAAAACGCTGTATGTTTTACCACCATGACTGGATCAAAGACGAAAAGTGTTGGCATCACAGAACTTGCTGCGCAGGGTCCTTCTCGCGTTGCTCCAACAAGACTTCCCAATTCTTCACCTGCAGCTAGCCATTTATGAAGTGTCATGGATTCGATAAGGTATTTACTCCGGTGATAACCAGTCAACAAGGCTGTGTAAGAATGGTATCAACTCAACTGACTAGAAGTTGGATGAAGTGCTGAACATGACTCGATTTGGGGCTTGTATATTCCCTATCTTTGAACCATGGCTGTATCATGCGCAACAAGAATGAGGCTATCGGCATGACATCGCCGATGCCCTGCCTCTTTGGCCGCTGCCTCTTCACATTCGGTGGTCACCTGGTGGATTTCATCGATTCGGTGGGCAGAAATGGAGCTTTCCATGGGCGTACTCCAATAGCTGGCTGGATGTTTTTTTCATGGAAAATCCTATTAGATGATTTAGGGATACCCCCATGACTTAGGAAACCTCCAATTTTTTAGTCTGCATCTTTGGCACAGGCTGGTCGTCTTTTGCACTGAACCATCCAATTTGGGGGGGAAGATATTAACCACTCGAAGGCTAGCAGCCCACCGCCATGAACCACAAACCATTCTGTCAAACCACCACCCAATGGCCCAATCCCCTGGAAAACACCATGGATGATATAGATATCACTTAGATATCTATCATATACCCTAGTGATTGGAGTTATGTTCACCAACTCAGCATTCACAAATTGGAGCACAAAAAATTGTGCCGGGCACTGGTGCCTCAAAAACCAGCCGACTTTCCCGGCATGTGCCGGGCAGCCGGGCACTGGTAAGCGTATGATCTTCACCTCCCCATCCCCAGGGTCCCAAGGGCCCCAGGTACCTTCTCCTTGGCCTCCGCCATTTCCAGCGCTTCCTTCGCCTCCTCCGATGCCAGCAGGGCCTCGCCTCGCTGCAGGCGCAGCTGTTCCAGCTCCGCGTCCAGCGCCTCGCGCGCCTCGTGCCGTGCTGCGGCGCCGTCCTCGGGGCAGGGGTTGAGGGGTTAAGGGGTGGAGGGGCCCAGATTTCTTGGGGGAGTTTGGGATTAGGCCTTCAGGGTTAACAGGGTGGGCTGGTTCTTTTTGGGAAGGATTGGATAGGTTTGAAACTCGAAATCTAAGTTATTGCTGTGACGAAGTCGGGATATTGACCAACAAAGAAGCCATCTTCATCCAAAACGAAACACTGGTGATTAAATTTGGGCGGTAGGTGATTTTTCTATATTGCCATTTTCGATCAACAGAGGGTAAGGGTATAGGATGGTATTTATAGAGGATTGGGGTTAGTTAGGGCTGATGATTTTTCTTGTTCGTTTCTTGTTTTTCTGGACAAGTTCTTAGGAATTGACATTCCAAGTCTGAGGCTATTACAGGCTGGAAATTGAAATCCAATTGTTCCCAAAACTATCCACAGCCGAATCCCAGCACCCAAAGGTCCTTTTTGGCCTCCTCACGAGCATGTTCCGCTTCCTCCTGCTTCCGAACCGCCAAGCTCTCCTCCATGTGCAACCGCTCCGCCTGTTCACGCACAGCTCCGGCCACACTCTCTTCGCGCCTTGGACAGAGACGCCAGAAGTGTCTGGAGAGGTGTGAAACAATGGGGGACCTGCTCAAATTATGCCATTTCAGTTTAAACAACCGGAAGTTTGAAAGGAGCTAGTTTCAATTTGAAAAAGTATCCATCAAAATGACCGATGTTGGTTCGCATGTTGGGTTGGTCCCAACTCTCGAAAATCCATCAAAAAATCCTGAAGTCCATCCAAGAAACAATTCAAAATGTCCGTCTCCAGCTCCCCAACAATTCTTCAAAATCTATCAAGAGATCCATCCCCCAACCTCAAAATCATCCCAACACCAAAAAAAGAAACATCCCAAACTGCCCAAAAAATCCATCCTCAACACCCCAACACCACCATTTTCCGCCTCTGCTCCTGTTGCAAGCGCTCCAACTCCTGCAGCACCTCCTCTTCCGCCCTCGCCCAGGCCAGTGCCGGGGCCACGGAAGCCTCCAAACGCGCCTGGGCGGCCTGGAGACGTGGGGACCGTGGTCCAAAATTTTGTTGACAATCCTATGTACCAATGGATATGCCATGGATATCATACCTTTGAAAATGCATACCATCCTATCATAGATGTTGTCCTTCATATTACCAATGGATGGCTTTTGAGCCCCCAACTTAGAGGTTTACTAGTGGCTTTACACGCAGATCAAAGCTGCAAATATGTCCGCTCACGCGTAAAGTATCCGTATGTATTATGTGTTTTACATCGAAAGAAATGATATTTCATAAATGGATTAGATGCCAATAGATATAATATATCATGTCATATATATATATATAACTAATATACTGTGTATATATATTATGCATTATTATGCATTATGTAAAATCATAAAAATAATATTTGAATATATTATATGTTTATTGTGTTGTATTATATTATTCTATGTTATATTATATTATATTATGTTATATTATATTATATTATATATAGATATATGTGATTTATATATAATTGATATGTAAATATAATATCAGATAATATAATATAATATAAGATAAAATAACATGATATAATATATGATAACATAACATAATATTATATTATATCATATATATATTGAATATTATATTATGTTGTATTATATTATATAATGTAATGTAATATAATGTAATATAATATGAAATAATAAAATGCATTATAATATAATAAAGTATTATAATATAACATAATTAAACATATAATACAATAATATTATGCAATAATATATAATATAATAAAATATAATATAATAATATATAATATAATAATATATAATATAATAATATATAATATAATAATATATAATATAATAATATATAATATAATGTATAATATAATATATAATATAATATATAATATAATATATAATATAATATATAATATAATATAATATAATATATAATATAATATATAATATAATATATAATATAATAATTTAAAATACAATATACTGTATAATATAACCTAATGTAGTATAATGTATCATAATGTATTAAGATATAGTATAATATGATATAATAAAATCTAATATAATGTACTATAATGTAGTATAATATAACATAACATAATATAATATAATACAATAGAATATAATACAATAATACAATATAATACAATATAATACAATATAATACAATATAATACAATATAATACAATATAATACAATATAATACAATATAATACAATATAATACGATATAATACAATATAATACAATAGGGTACAACATAACGTAACATAACATAATGTAACATAATGTAATACAATATAACATGATACAATATAATACAAAATAATACAAAATAATACAATACATTTCAATATAATAATATAATACAATACAATATAATATCATATAAATATCATATATATATATGAATATAATATAATTTAATTTAATACATATTTGAATATAATATAATATAACGTAATACATATTTGAATATAATATATATATATGAATATAGTGTATATATATATATATTTAGTTTATTGATCTTTTATATCATATGATATATATATATATAATATACATATATATCGTAAAAATATGATGTGTTTGAAGCTTCAACTTGGCCAAGCTGCCGCTTCTTCTGCCTCCTTCACCACCAGCTGCTCCTCGCTGCGGAGATTCCAGAGCTCTGCAGCCGCCTCCTCACGCGCACGTGCTGCTGCGGCCTGGAAGGACTGGGATCCGTCCGTTGAGATCCCAAAAGGGGGCCGCCCCGGGGGACTTCAGCAGCTATGGTGGTACCTATCGAAGATAGAGGTTACCCGGCCTGGTCAACTAACAAAAACCTGACTGGAAAGATCCACCATTTTATAGCTGGGTAAATCAACGAACTTTCTATGGCAATTTTCAATAGCAAACTGTTAGTTTACTGGAGGGTAACTAAAAAAGTGGTAATTTAATGGAATTTATATCATCAAACCAACAGCTAACCAACCATTTTGTGGGAATAGAAATGCCAATACATGCCAATGGTTGGAATTTTTGGGGTCAGAATGGGGCGAGATATGGGACGTAGTGGGATAACCCCCATCAGTTGACTTGAAAAAACAGATGATGAATGAGCCGTTCAAAAAGTTGCTAGTGGCGGTTAGTAAGACATTACCAAGTTCTTTCTATTGTGGGGGTCAGCTTTGAGGGGGTTGGCTGAATCCCTATGCATATTCTACTCGAGAATGGGTACAAACACATACACAGATCATCCACATAATCTATTTCCCCAGCTGAAAGCGAGTTTTGACTCTTGGTTTGGAGGAGTTCACCCATAAAATGGAGCCTTCATCATCCAAACTAGGGGTCAGGACTTGCTTCCAGGGAGTTCATGGAGAGGGAGGTTTGATCCAACCGAGATATGGGGTCAGAATCCTACCAGTGAACACATCAGCCCAGTGGTTCATCCCAAGTATGGTACATCCCAGTGATTGGGCACCCAGCCCAGTGTAGATACCCCAGTAACGCCTCTGCTGCTTCTTCCAAGAGTTCAGCACCTGCGACAGCCGATGGTTTCACCTGGTACTATCGGTGCGATTTGCGATTTCCTCTCTCTCTCGCATACAGCACATCCATTCCTTTTGCGCTTCCGATGTGATAAATTTGATGACCACTTGTTTAAGGTGTATCTCATGATCCAACTTCCGGTAGATGTCGGTTTGCTGATGATTTATCCCTGGGATGATGAAGCGATACTATCACTTCATGCTCAGATCATCTCAGATCCATATGGCACCTGGTCCCGACATGGCAGCCGTGGCTCCGGGTACTCCAGCAGTGGCCCGGCCTGGCAATGCACCCGACCTCAGCACGCGCTTTTTGGGTCTGAAAATCCCGCGGTACCGGGCTGGTAGAAACCCGCGCGCTTTTTTGGATTGTCATGAGTAGATTTACATGGTATTTACAGTACATTCATGTTTTTCCACATGCATTTTGGCCTTTGCGAACTAACTGTGTTTTCCATTAAGGAAGCATTTTTTTTTGAAGTTTGATATGGGCGACTATTCTCCTTTGAGGGACTTTCCATGTCCCAATGGCAGGGAAGTTACGACACCGGGTCCAGCCCTGCCACGGCTGTGGTGCCCGAACCCGTCCAGCCCTGCGGCATCCAACCCCTGAGCCGACCTACAGCTATGGCGGGGGATGATGAAAATCCCAACTGAATGGGAAGCCATAAAATTCCATGGTTCCAAACCACCAACCAGATATAATCCCACTATATGATTATATATGGTTATTAACCATTATTAATGATTATTACTAATAATCCCATTATTATAATGGTAATGGTGAAAAAAAAACATCATTAGCCACAAGGCCATCCAAAGTGATCCACCGATCCAGCCTGGAATTTCACGTTTCACGAAAAAAGTTTTTGGATGACGCTTACAAGGACTCAACTGACAAAATGTTTATACTATGTCCTAACATTATGTGTATACATACATACATATCTATATTATATATATATGTGTGTGTGTGTGCACTGCCAATTTACATGCAGTTCTCTTTTCCTTTCAATTGCAGGAGGCATGCGGCCATCATGCAAACACATGCTGAAGAAAGCTATCCATGATTGGCGTCCTGGGCACTTCGTAAAGCGATCTTACAAGGACTCAACTGACAAAATGTTTATACTATGTCCTAACATTATGTGTATACATACATACATATCTATATTATATATATATGTGTGTGTGTGTGCACTGCCAATTTACATGCAGTTCTCTTTTCCTTTCAATTGCAGGAGGCATGCGGCCATCATGCAAACACATGCTGAAGAAAGCTATCCATGATTGGCGTCCTGGGCACTTCGTAAAGCGACGACATCTTCAACCAAAACCAATGAACACACCGGGGTGTGTCGGTCTCTTGCGATAAATACATAGTCCCCTTGTAATGGAGACGAAACAGCAGTTCGGGAAATCAAAGCTTGAAGCAATCTTTAGATTTAGCTCCCATGATTTTGGTTAGTGACATTTAGTGACCAAAAAAGCATGTGTATTCGTTTTTTTTGAAAAACATCTCATTTTTGAGTGATTCGGCCATTATCTCCCAGTATCAGCAAATTCTGGTGCCGGGATTTAAGATGGGGATATTGTCATCTAATATGGTCCATACTTTGAGGTGAGATTTCCACATTTGGCTACTATCTTTCCATGGCTTGGGATGATGGGATTGGCCTTCTTAAACTTTGGAGCGCTTCACGAATTTCACGATGTATTTTGCTGGTGATAACATTCCTATGTTTCCCATGTTGGGGTAAATTTCAGGTAAATGCCCCATGTCAGGAGGGTGCGCCACTATTTCACCACACAGAAAATATGCTTTCACAGCCCAAAGCCAAAGTTGGCAAATATATCAGGTGCAATCGACACACCCGTGCTTTTCATACTTGGATGTGCATCCCACTTAGTGGTTTGTATCCCATTCATCAATATATACATATATAAGCCATTCATCTACAGGGCTGTATTCATGATGTTTACCAATCAATTCAGCATTCCTGCTGCGTCATCCATGCAAAGTGGGTGTTGGAGCTATATCTAGTTGTGTCAAACCCACATCATCGGCCAAGTTAGATACGGATTCTTAATGGCTGGGAAAAAATATGTACATACATACATGCATGCATCATGCATTGCATTACGTTCAGTTCCGTCGCGTTGCGTTACATTACGTTACATTACATTTCATACACTACGTACATTGCATAAATTGCATGCATTGAATACATAGCATGCATTGCATACATTACATTCATTGCATACATGACAGACATTGCATACATTACATACATTGCATACATTACATTCATTACATTCATTGCATGCATTACATACATTGCATACATTACATTACATTACATTACGTTACATTACATTGCATTTACGTTACGTTAAGTTACATTACGTTACTTTACGTTACGTTGCGTTACATTGCAACGTTACATTACATACATTGCATACATTGCATACATTGCATAAACTGCATACATTACATACATAGCATGCATTGCATACATTACATTCATTGCATACATGACATACATTGCATACATTACATACGTTGCATACATTACATTCATTACATTCATTGCATACATTACATACATTGCATACATTACATTGCTTTACGTTACATTACATTACATAACATAACATTACATAGCACTACATAACATTACACAATATTACATATCGTTCCATAACATAGCATGACATTACATGACGTTGCATGACATTACATAAATTACATTCATTACATACATTGCATGCATTGCATACATGCCATAAATACCATACATACCATGCATATCATACATACCATACATTAAGATACCACGCGTCGACATGTCAAAAAATCACTCCGCAATATAAAAAGATTCCCGCAATATATAAAAATTGCCATCGCGGGACGTCGTTTTGCCATGTCGACGGGTACATTTACGTCGTTTTGGCATGTCGACGGGCACATTTACCATTTTACACTTTACTATTCTCCCTTTCCAACCTGCATGTTGACGCGTCGTATCCCCCATACATTACCATACATTACCATACATTACCATACATTACCATACATTACATTACATACATACACACATATCCCAACCATATCAGGCAATCTGGTTAAACCACCTGTTTGGTAGGCCATCCATGGTATATTCTAACTGGATATTGAACAATATAAAACCTGCACAATCACCCAAATGGGTGTGTCTAATAATAGAATACCCCAAAGTCCCCTGGTTTATGATCATTCTTCCTATAGCTCCAATTTCCGAGGTATCCAAAAACATTTTGGTCAAACCCAAACATCATATTGCTGGTTATATAGATATACCATTTCCCATATTATATCCCTATCTATATGATGTTCCCACACTATAAACCCGTAAACCCCTTTTAATATCCCATGAATGAAGGAAAATTCCCCCTTTTTCTCCGTTCAATCCCAGTTTTTGATGGTGGAACCACCGTTTTTATTGGTTTTATCCCAGGAAAAATCCCTGCAAAATTCAAGTAAAATCGCACTAGCTGAGGAACCCCCTCCATTTTTCCTATAGCTTTGCACCCCATCGCTGCTTGAATCCAGCTGCAGTTGCTGCGCTGAAGCCGCTTCCAGTGGCTTCTGCAGCTGTTTGTGACGCCCTGGCAACTCCTGAAGCGCTGAAACCTGAAAAATAGGGGAATTCTTGGCAGCTCTGGATTGTTGTTTTGTATTTTTCCCTTGCAAAAAGTCGAGCAAAATAGGTCTTGTGATAGACTCAAGTTGGATCCAAGAATTCGGAGGCGCCCCCTGTACCAATGGGATTTCTCCAAGGGCCTCGAAAAGGATACCACAAAATCGGTGTCAGAATTTAGGTGACTGAATCATCCTTCAAAATGATCATCTTTGAAGCTGTAAATTCACCCCCTGGATGTCCTGATCCACCTCATCCGAGATAGACCCTTTTTGGGACCTGTGGCGTACGCTGGGACGTACGTCACCCAAAAAAGTGATTTTTCACCAACTTCATCATGGGATTTCATGGAAATACCATGGGAATATCATGGGATATACTGGGATTTGTCTCATGGGGTGTGGTCATCCATCATGAATGGGCTTCCAGATTTCTAGCGGGTATTGAAAATGGACAAGCATCCCGTCTCTTTTCGGAGAACATCCCATGTTTTGACCATGGCACGCAGTGACATGCGTTCATCACACAAGATCAGTGACAAGCCCGCAATCCTGAGGATTGCTGTTGGCTCTGTTTTGGCTTCGATCCATGTCCCTCCAAAATAGAAACAATGCCCCAAGGTCGATGTGGAAAGCCCCAATTTTACATGTGAAACAGTTTGCTTCAACCGTTCCCACGATTTCTTGGTGAACTTCAGATGATCAACCCAAAAAGAGTGGAAAAAAAGAGCTGCAAATATGGCCACTTTGATAGGAAAAAACGTGATTCATATATGGAGGTGTCCTAAGTCATGGGGGTACCCCTAGTTCTCATCCATTTATAGATGCATTTTCCGTGAAATAAACCATCCAGCTATTGGGGATCCCCCATTTATGGAACCCCCCATATCGACCGTTGGTGTTTTCATGCTTTCCCATCATCTCGCGCCTCCCCATGTGGGATTGAACTGTGGAAGCATCCGGTCGCCTGGTCAGAAGGTTGATTTTAAGCAAAGATGTCATCCCATATGGGAAATGGTTGACTACATATTATCCCATAAAAGTGGAGAGAATCTTGGTTCATCCAGAAATGGGATGTTAAACAACAATCTCTATAGATCGATGAAAGGGAAAATCTGCAGGAAACCATGGATTTACGCCCCAAATTTAGGGGCCACAAACGTACTGAATCAAGGTTTTTGTGGGATAATCTTTTCTAGTCTCAGATACTTGATGTTGTCTAATCAAATTGATACCTGCTGCAAAAGCCGTAACCCAGTGACTCCAAAATCGTGGATATCATAAATGGATGTGTGCCACAAAATTGAGTTCCTCCAAATCCAAACATTTAACATGGAGGTGCTCTCCATCGCTCCCTGACAATTTTAGGGGTCTGTCCACATTTCCGGACGAACCCACAGGCAGGAGATCCTCATTTTTGCAGGTCAAATTCCCATTTCGGATCATGTTTGATGGTTAAACCCCACATATTTTGTGTAAAACCACATCAAATCCCTGTGAACAATCCCCATGTTGGATGGTGAAGTTTCACCCGACAGCGGGCACCCTGGCACAAATCCCTGCCGCGGCCGGACCCTTTGCCTTGGTGATATGTCATGGCCAGCTATGATTGAAAAAACCACTAGCAGTCACTGGGACCCGAGCCTAGTGGGGAATCGGAAGGAGTACTGATATGTATTGATTATATATTAATAGGCTTCTGTAAACCACTACTCTCTGGTAAACGTTTACATTGCTATTGAAAATGGCCATAGAAATAGTGGATTTACCCATTAAAAATGGTGATTTTCCATAGTTACGTTAGTTTACCAGGCCATGTTTTCACAACTTGTAAATCCAGGAATCAGAATTAATCAGATTCAAAGTACTGATGTTTGCAGCCTGGCGACTGATGGGTGTATGGCTTTTTTGTTGTAAACCTCATACCATCCTTGCACACCTGCAATGATCATTTTCAGGCTTAATCATCCAAGGATGGATCCTGGTCAATCACGGTCGATAGAGGCCGCAGTCACCACTAGCTCCCTATGGTTTCGTAAGACTCAGATTCCCCGACCCCATCATCAGTGGCAAATCCAAACCCTTGGAATGTATCTAAAAATAGCCATTCGATGATCCTATGGTTCGTTTGATTGGTCCTGCTTGTTGGATCATTTATTCAAAGGATCTCCATTAATGTTTGCTTCTGTCTCGGTTCCCTTCTGATTAAGCCACTATTCTTGGTTTGTTGGTGATGTACTCCCCATGTTTCAACAGGTTATGTAGAAATTATTGAATTGCTGGTTATACAACCTCTTTTCCCCGTCGGTATCTCACCCAACGTTGATATTGCCCAGCTATCTTTGTTTGTTGGGCAAGCGCCTCTGATTCTTGTTGCTTTTAAACCCTGTAAATTTACATGAGCCTCTAGAAAACCATGGTTTTCTGTGAAGTGATCTACATTCACTGCTGCTTTGGACATACCTAGGTTAAGTTACTGCTGGCTAATTCCCTATGTTTCGCTCTTTAAGTCACCATTCTCTCTAGTTGAATCCTTTTTTCTGCCTATATCCCTATCCCATGTTTCTGATCTTTAGCGTTGATAATCAGATTCTACTGGGGCATATCCCCATATACAACGGGATATAATATGCTTATTGTCCACTTACTCCAGAGATGAACCTCCAGATACTGGTCCCGAAACTCATCAACTCCGCGAACGTGTTTGTGACTGATAACGAAGGGGTGAACGTAAGTCCCCGAAGTCAGGTTATTCCATTTACCCTCTGGTAATTTAACAGTTCGCTATTGAAAATGGTCTATTTATAGTGGATTTACCCATTGAAAATTGTGATGTTCCATGGTTATGTGACAGTTTACCGTATGGTAATTTAACAGTTCGCTATGGAAGATGGTCCATTTATAGCGGATTTATGAGGATTTACCTATCCAAAATGGTGATTTTCCATAGCTACGTGATTCCAATTCATTTACCTATTGAAAATGATGGATTTTCCATGGCTACGTTAAGTAACCAGAGGGTATATATATATATACTGGTTTCTGGTTGACCTACCCCTCTAAAAAATATGAGTTCGTCAGTTGGGATGATCAAATTCCCAATATATGGAAAGTCATAAAATTCCATGGTTCCAAGCCACCAACCAGATATTCATTTATAAGTTGCTTGTAAACTATGGTTTCTAATAGTTTCTGAGCACTTGCTAAGTCATGAAAAGTAGCCCTATCCCTATCCCATGAAATGCTGGTTGATGAGTATCTCGTTGATTTGGTGCATCATCCCCAAGAAACCAGCTAGCTTGGTGCAGTATAGATGACCATCTAGTTCTTAACCCATGAATCAACCATATTTTTCAATTATATATATATATATATATCGAGATGTTTGATAGTTAAAACCTCAAAAAAGGAAACCATAAGTGATGGTTAAATCTCAGTAAGATCCCATTCAACCGGTTCATTTCTCAATTATAATCCGTGGTAGTTTTAAAAAAACACCAATTTCATCCTCCCAGTATATCGCCACTTCTCACCATTGATAGTTATATCAAGTTATATCCCAAATCAGTGGCTAAAACCCACATAGAGGTTTCCTAAAATAGGGGCACCCCCAAATCATCCATGTTATGTTCGGATTTTCCATGAAATAAAGCATCCAGCTTTTGGGGTACTCCCATTCTAGGAAACCCCCACATCAGTGCTGCTTTTACCATTTCATCCCAGTGGCACTTCCGCGAGCTCTTCAGGAGACGTCGGAAACGTCTCCGCGCGTCCAAGAAATCCATCGACCAAAGGGTCACCTGGAATCAACGGGGAAAGCCGACATCTTTCGTGGGATAAAAAATGCCAAAAAATATGGGAGATGAAAGGAATCTCATGGGTTTTATAGTGATATATAGGGATGGGGAATTACTGGGGAATGAATGGGATATGTAACCAAGAAGATTATAGTAGGGATGTACACGGGATAGAATGATGTAATAGGGATATAAGAGGGAATTAATGGGGAATGAATGGGATATGTAACGAAGAAGATGTTTGGATGTGTCTGAAAATGACTCGTATACTCCAAATGGCCATTTCTAGAGGAAAATGATGTGTTTTTCCATTGGAATTGAGAGTATACCATTTTCAGACAAACCCAATGGGATATACTAGGGCTTATAACGGAATAGCATAGGACAATCATCTTTCATGGGTAAAATGAAGTGATGGGGATATCTACGTGCATAAGGGTGTGTAAAGATTTACAACAACTCCCGAATATACATCCAAAAATTTTGCAAACGGGAATGTAGTAAAAGGGAAATTAATTACTGGTATATCTAACCAACAAAATGATGTATTATATGGGTGTGTCTGAAGGTTATGAGTGTATACCCAAAAATCACCATGTTGATAAGAAAAATGATGAGAAAGAAAGAAATTTGGAGGTGCCATATTTTCAGACACACCCGTATTCTGGGTAAAGATATACCACCCCCTCCCAACCACACTTTGACCCTGAGAATCACCATTTGTTGGATGAAAGCAGTCCCCCACAAGATGTTTGACAGGGCCTATGTCAGTTGGAAGGATGGCAAGTGTATAAATAGTACAAATATACTAGTATATACTAGTTGTACAACTACAGTATTGCATACATGTGTGGTGGGGATATGGGGTACGTGGCTTTGTTTCTTGAAATGGGGACCCACTACTTGGATGTCCAGGAAGGAGAACTGGATAGCATAGCATTAGTGTTAGCATTAGCATTAGTACTACTATGGTATAGTATATTACATCATATTATGTTGTATTATACTGTATTATATTATATCACATCATGATATTATACGATATTATATGATATTGTGATATTGTATGATATTATATGATGTTATATGATATTATATTAGATTATATCATATGATATGAAATGATATTATATTATATTATATCATATTAAATTATATTATATTAAAATTTATTATATTATATTGTATTAAACTTGTTTATTATATTTTATTACATTATATTTTGCTTTATATACATATATCATATGGTTATGTGTCAAAACCCTGCACCCCTTGAGTTCACATCAAAATAGCTAGGATTTATGGATGTTCATCCCCAAACAACTTGTATCTATAGGTATTGATCCACAGCCATATCTATTTATATATATAGAGAGAGAGAGATTCTATACATATATATATATATATGGCTGTGGATCAAATATAGATATTACAATATTATATTGTGTTCTAACCATCGGTATGCGTGCAAGTTGCGCCCAAATTCCAGGATGGCATTCCTTTTCCTGCCTCTAGACTGTTCAAGAATGGTGCTGTACAGGTGTGAGACTTTCTTTCAGTTCAGCCTGTCACTTTGCAGCAGGACTTCTAATACAGCAATCTGGGTCCTGCTCTTCGAAGGCTCGGCGGTCTTTGCTTCTTGCACTGATCACTAGGTGGAAACTTCGGTCACTTGGCACCACATGTATAAATACCTTGGACATGTCTTGCACAGCAAGATCTACGTATATATGGATGTGGGTCAAAATGGACCACAGATGTTAGTCTAGTTTCGTATTAACCATCCAATTATTGGGATACCTAATTTTGACCCATACCCATTTGTGTGTGGACATACCGATAGATTTGAAGATGTTATTGGCTTTAGTCAGTGAAAAGTCTGTTCCTTTCACGGTGCCTCTAGCCCCACAAGCTTCCATTTCCCTAAGAGCATACTTCATACTACAAGGAAAAGACCAGACTCACATTGTCGTCGGACGAGATGTATGACATGTTCAGGTAGGACTGAATGAGTGTCCGTGCATAGGGATGCCTGCGAGCAGTTGTTTGCAGGAGGTGGTGCATCTCGACTGAATCCTTGGCGGCGATCATCTGTAGCAAAATGGTGTCTTTGATCATGAACCGTCTCAGCTTACTGGGACGTGCCAAGACATACTCCACGGCTTCATCTTGAACCGCGTGGTGACAGAATGCACATTGATCTCCTTTGGCACAACCATGTGTTGAAAAGAAGAAGACACAAGGCTCGCATATCTGAGACTCCTGGGAACAACCTCCCATCTTTTATCCTAACTCTCTCCGGTCGCGTAGCCGCCACCGTTGAATGCCTTCTCAGAGAACTAGATCCCAGATGTCACGGACAAACAAAGAAAATGTGGGCACTCAGCGGTATCCAACTGGGTATCAACATGCATCTTGATGTAGTGTTTGGGGTGAGTTTTCGCAAATGAACAGTTTGTGTCTCTCCCAGCTCATGGGTTCTGAAAGTCACCATCAAGCCTAGTCGGAAAACCTTGTTTGCAACAGTTAACCAACATCATTTGAGGGCGGTATCAAGTGAAATCATCATTTGTTTGAACCTGCTCAATCTCATCCGGTGGGAATTCATGTTTGTCCCAGGCTGAAACATCAACTGCTCCATCTTTGGAGAAACCGTTTTTTCGCCATGATCCACTCAAGCCAGGGACACGACCAGGAGCCCCCACGCGCTTGAAGTCGGTTCCGAACATATCCATTCGTCACAGACTTCGATATCGATGCCTGGCGTCGCCACAAAGATGAAAGATGAACAAACAAATATCCGAAGAAATGGTCGGTCCCAGCATGATTTCAAGATATTTCAGCCGAAGAAGCATGAAACGATCATGCAGTCCATTAGTTACATGTGTTTTGAAGCCGAAAGAAATGGGAAAGATGAAATTTACCAGCATTCTAGAATCGGATTTGACCAACGTCAGCATCTTTTTGAAGGGTAACTATAGATTCTCTAGGGTCGCGTGTAGATTCTTTATCTCGCACCTCCAGGCCGGCTCCAGTGAGTTCCAAGTCCAGAACTTCCTATCAGAGCGGTTTTTATGGAGGTCCACCTTGGGAAAAAATATCACCCCCATAATGTCCTTTTGGTAAAAATAAAGGGGCCGGGAGCTGGTATACCATCTATCATCATATACCTGTGGTTAAAGGGGTAAACACACTCCTCTATTAATCAACCAACCAATGGGAAAAGGATATGCCCCAAACTGCTGGGTGTTTTACCAGTTTTACCGCTTTGACACTTTGAAATGCAATGAACATATCGATACTTTAACATCATGTCCATGTCCGAAAAATCATGAGCTGAATGGAATTGGGAGGCCAACACCATTGGGAGGCTTTATCGACTATTTCATGATCATTTCAATTGATGCTTGAATTCCCAGAATGGTGAAGCGTCTCTGGATCGCCGTTAGTGCCAAGATAAAGCTGAACCGCGAATAACGGTCATGCCACTTGAATAGTTCGGGACTTTGAGAACAAAACCTTGATCCCATGTACCATTTGACTAGCACATTAATCCACACTGGCCTACTCACAGAATCGTCTTACACAGCTATCCTGGCTGAGTTTTGGATCCACAACGACCTGTCTTTGGATCGATGAAATGGTGAAATGGCAGAATTTAACCATTGTCACCTTGGTTAATATATATATATTGCGTGGCTATAAATCCCTGCGTTTGATGATGGAACCCCCCATGATGCCATGTTCATTGCCGATGTTCTCACCATTTCCGGACGTCCATTTCCATTTTCTCAATCTTTTTCAATGGGAGTTTCCGAAAAAAAAAACGCGACCCTTTTCGCTACCCCCAGTCATCAATTCGTATGGGATTTTCCATGATTCAGCATCCAGCTATCGGACCATCCAGCTGGGTACCTCCACGGAAACCCCCATTCATGGCCTCGCTTGCGTCCCAAACGTCCTTTTCAGACCAGCAGCTGTTTTGGGGGAATTGGCTGCATGAGTCATACGTTTGAAAGTTGAAGACCTTACAAACTACGGATGATCCAATATTGGCATGGATAAATATGGCGAAATTACCTGGAAATGATTGAAGAATTGAAAAATATATGGAATTAGTTGGAAATGATTAGAAACTGCATGGATACAAACTATGATACAAACAGTAACGAGTCAACAGTTGAGACCCTGAGAACTCAATTTTGGCTCACAACCATGCAGCTACTTTGAAGCCGTATGCGCGAACGCTGATGCCAACGACATGAGCAGTTTCTAATTCTAGACTAGGTTCAACACCAATTTTCCTCTGGCTGCTAGGATTTCCAAAACGGTACATGAGAATTCGCAGCCACATAAATCATCATGTCTCCATGATCTCCCAATTTTTTGCCCATAAATCGCCACATTTGCCAAGTAATTCTCATGTTCGACACATTCTGGCACTAACAAACCGCAGAATAATATGAACAATAGCATATGGGACCCAAAATGAACAGAACCCGCTACTGACTCAATGAAGCCGTGAACCAATGTTTCAATGAAGGAGTGGAGTAGTGAGTCGATGAATCAACAAATCAGTGAAGCAATGGCCCAATGAATCAATGAAGGAAGGAAGCAAAGAACCAACGACCCAAGGAATCAATGAAACAATGAATCAATTAATCAACGAAACAGTGAGTCAGCCAACCAATGACCCAACGAGTCAGTGAATCAGCCAAGATATGAATCAGTGAATCACTTGATTAATGAATCATTAAATCCGTGAATCAAACAATCAATGAATCAATGACCGAATCAATGAACCAACCAATCACCGAATAAATGAAACAGTGGTTCATGGAATCAACGAATCAATGAATCAATAAACCAGTTGATCAACGACTCCGTGAACCAATGAATCAAAGAACCAGTGGAGCAATGAATCAGGGATAGGAATCAACAAATCAATGAATCCACGAACCAATGGGTCACTGAATCAGTGGATCAACGACTCCGTGAATCAACGAAGCAATGAACCAGGGAATCAACGAATCAATGAGTCAATCAACCAATGAATCAATGAATCAGTGATGGAGCCAGTCAGTGAATCAATGAACCAGTGAATCAATGAAGTTGTGATTCAATGAACCAATAAATCAATGAATTCAGAAATCAGTGGATCAAAACCAATGAATCAGTGAACCATTGAATCAAAAGAACCAAGAATCAGTGAGTCAATGAATCTTTGAATATATGAAGGAATGAAACAAAGAATCAAAGAATCGATGAATAAACACATGAACGGATAAACGAATGAACGAACGAACGAACGAAGGAACGAAGGAACGAAGGAAGGAACGAAGGAACGAACGAACGAACGAAGGAAGGAAGGAAGGAAGGAATGAATCAGTGAATGACTGAATGACTGAATGACTGAATGACTGAATGACTGAATGACTGAATGACTGAATGAATGACTGAATGACTGAATGACTGAATGACTGAATGACTGAATGACTGACTGAATGAATGAATGAATGCATGAATGCATGAATGCATGAATGCATGAATGCATGAATGCATGAATGACTGAATGACTGAATGACTGAATGACTGAGCGAGTGAAGGAGTGAAGGAGTGAAGGAGTGAAGGAGTGAAGGAGTGAAGGAGTGAAGGAGTGAAGGAGTGAAGGATTGAAGGAAGGAAGGAAGGAAGAAGGAAGGAAGGAAGGAAGGAATGAAGGAAGGAAGGAAGTACAGGAAGGAATGAAGGAATGAATGAATAAATGAATGAATGAAGGAAGGAATGAATGAATGAATGAATGCTTGGATGAATGGATGAATGACGGAATGACTGAATGACTGAGCGAGTGAAGGAGTGAAGGAGTGAAGGAGTGAAGGAGTGCAGGAGTGCAGGAGTGAAGGAGTGAAAGAGTGAAGGAGTGAAGGAGTGAAGGAGTGAAGGAGTGAAGGAGTGAAGGAGTGAAGGAGTGAAGGAGTGAAGGAGTGAAGGAATGAAGGAATGAAGGAATGAAGGAATGAATGAATGAAGGAAGGAAGGAAGGAATGAAGGAAGGAATGAAGGAATGAAGGAATGAAGGAATGAAGGAAGGAATGAAGGAAGGAAGGAATGAAGGAATGAAGGAATGAAGGAATGAAGGAATGAAGGAATGAAGGAATGAAGGAATGAAGGAATGAAGGAATGAAGGAATGAAGGAAGGAAGGAAGGAGTGAATGAATGGGTGCCAGCAGTGCTGGCGTTCGGCGCCTCGCATGCCTCGTGCCTTGCTGCGGCGCCGTCCTCGGGGGCACGGAGGGTTTGAGGGGTTAAGGTGCCCGGATTTCTTGCGGGAGTTTGGGATTAGGCCTTCAGGGTTAACAGGGTGGGCTGGTTCTTTTTGGGAAGGATTAGATAGGTTTGAAACTCGAAAACTAAGTTATTATTATTGCGACAAAGTCGGGATATTGACCAACAAAGAAGCCATCTTCATCCAAAAAAGAAATCCTGGTGACTAATTTGGGTAGCAGGTGACTTTTCTGCATTGCCACTTTCGATCAACAGGGGGTAAGGGTATAGTATAGGATTGTAATTATACAGGATTGGGGTTAGTTAGGGCCGAAGATCGTTCTTGTTCGTTTCTTGTTTGCATCGACAACTTCTAACTGACACTCCAACTCTGAGGCTATTACGGGCTGAAAATTGAAGTCAGTGTTCCCAATACTATCCACAGTCGGATCCCAGCACCCAAGAGGTCCTTTTTGGCCTCGTCACAAGCGTGTTCCGCTTCCTCCTGCTTCCGAACTGCCAAGCTCTTTTTGTTCATGTGCAGCCGCTCCGCCTGTTCACCCGCAGCTTCGGCCACAATCTCTCCACGCCTAGGACAGAGGCGCCAAGTGTTTGGGGGCGAATTATGCAATTCAGTTAAAAAAGCAAAAAGTGTGAAGGGAGCTAGTTTCATGTTGGGTTGGTCCCAACTCTCGAAAATCTATCACAGATTCCTGACATCCATTCAGAATGTCCTTCTCCAGCTCCCTAAAAATCATTCGACATCTATCAAAACATCCATCCACATCCTCAAAATCATCCAAAAAAAATCGTCCCAAACTGTCCTCCCATTTTTCGCCTCTGCTCTTGTTGCAAGCGCTCCAACTCCTGCTGCTGGTGCTGCTGCTGCTGCTGCTGCTGCTGCTGCTGGGTTCTGCTTGCTGCTGCTGCTGCTGCTGCTGCTGTTGGGTTCTGCCTCCTGCTGCTGCTGTTGGGTTCTGCCTTTTGCTGCACCTCCTGGGCCGCGGAAGCCTCCAAACGCGCCTGGGCAGCCTGGAGACATGGGGACCACGGTCCAAATTGACCATCCTTCATATTACCAATGGATGGTTTTTGAGCCCCCAGCGTAGAGGCTTGCTATTAGCTTTACCACAGATCAAAGCTGCAAATATGTCAGCTCACATGTAAAGTATCCGTATGTATCATGTGTTTTACATGGAAAGAAATGATCTTTCATAATGTCCTTTAGATGCAAACGCAGAATACATGTATATATATATATATACACATACACATACACATACACATACACATACACATACACATACACATATACATATACATATAATCATCCTGAAGTAGATACAATATGGGAATCTCAAACATATTCCCAGTTGACTGATGGTTTTTTGAAAATTCGAGATTCTATCTACTTCAGGATGATTATATATCAAAAATATGATGTATTTGAAGCTTCAAGTTCGCGAAGGTGCCGCTTCTTCCGCCTCCTTCACCACCAGCTGCTCCTTGCTGCGGAGATTCCACGGCTCTGCAGCCGCCTCCTCACGCGCACGTGCTGCTGTGGCCTGGAAAAAAGGGGGTGGACGGACGGTCCAAGCTGATATCATGGGGACCATCAAACCAACAGCTAACCAACCATTTTGTGGGAATAGAAATGCCAATACATGCCAATGATTGGATTTTTTGGGGGTACAGTAGAATGGGGTGAGATAACCTTCATCAGTCAGTTGACTTTGAGAACAATAGATGATGAATGAGCCGTTCAAAAAGTTGCTAGTGGCGGTTAGGAAGACATTACCAAGTTCTTTTTATTGTGGGGGTCAGCTTTGAAGGGGTTGGCTGAATCCCTATGAATATATTCTACTCGAGAATGGGTACAAACACATACACAGATCCACATAGCTGAAAACCAGTTTTGACTCTTGGTTTGGAGGAGTCCACCCATAAAATGGAGACTTTATCATCCAAACTAGGGCTAGGGGTCAGGACTGACTTCCAGGGAGTTGATGGAGAGGGAGGTTTGATCCGAATCAACAAACAAAACACAACTGCGGTAACACACACACATATATATATATATATATTGAAACGAGATAATACCCCAGTGAACACGTCAAAGAGTTTGAGGTTCATCCCTCCCAAGTATGGTAAACTAGTGGGTAAAATGGGCATTGACCCAGCCCAGTGTAGATACCTCCTAACGCGTGCCTTTGCTGCTTCTTCCAAGGGTTCAGCACCTGCGACAGCCGATGGTTCACCTGGTACTATCAGCGATTTCCTCTCTCGCATACAGCAATTCCTATCCTTTTGCGCTGCCTCTGATTCTCTGATGTGAAAAAAATTGATGACCACTTGTTAAGGTGTATCTCATTATCAAACTTCCAAATGGTAGATTTCGCTTTGCTGTGGTATGATTTATCACTGGGACAATGAACCTCTATCACTTCATGCTCAGATCCATATCGCACCTGGTCCCGACATGGCAGCCGTGGCTCCCGGTACACTTCCAGCTCGATCCAAAGCTCTCAAAGCTCCAGGGGTGGCGTGGCCTGGCAATGCACCCGACCTCAGCAGCGCCGCAACCCTGAGTGCTACATTTGGTTCCTCGCGCGGTGGATGTTTTAATCACGCGTCGGGCTGGTAGAAACCCGCGCGTTTTTTTGATTGTCATGAGTAGATTTGCATGACATTTACAGTACATTCATGCTTTTCCACAAATTGAGGCCTTTGCGGACCAACTGTGTTTTCCATGAAGAAAGAATGACTATGAAGTTTGACATGCGTGGGTATTCTCCTTTGCTGAAGGACTTTCCTGTGCAAACCAACATTTCCCAACGTTGGAAGTCACTTCAGAATAAAAAGAGCGTAGCAGTAGCAGCAAGAGCGTGTTGAAAGCTGGAAGTTACTCGAGAACGAAAGAATTGTCGTAGCATCAAGAGCATGTTGGAAGTTACTTGGGAAAGAAAAGATCGCAGCACCAAGAGCGTGTTAGCAGAATGCAAGTGGACTGAACCTTACCAGGTCATAGCATGAGTGCCAGGCACAGTTTAAATGCGCCGTCAAGGCTCAAGAGAGATATAGAGGTATAGCTTGTAGAGCTAATTGGCCGAGAAAGCCAGCGCTCGCAGCCTGGGAAGACGCTTTAGCTGATCCTTTACTTGAAGGACGCGGCTGCCCCTCTTCAAGTGGTCGCGGAGCATTGCTCCGGGCGTACAGAGTAGAGCCCAATGACAAGCAATGGCTATGAAGATGACTTCCACGTTGTCGATGATGATAGCTCATGGAATCAGTATGAATCATATGCAATGAGAAGAGGACCCCAACAAACAGCAGTTCACATGACTCAGCAAATGACCACAAAGGTTGTCCGTCATACAATGGAAGGACCAGCTTCTTTGCCTATGAAGATGCAATTGATGACTGCTGTGACATTGCAAAACTGAAACCTGAGAAACGTGGACCTGATTTAAGAAACCCATTAGAAGATGAAGCAACTATCTACAAACGATTGCTGAACAATTGCTTGTTGAGGGATCCCAATGATGGTGTGAACTAGTTCAAAAGATTCTTGCGACCTCGTTTCATCAAGGGAGCTCAAACAGTGGTATCGATTCATGCAGTTCATGAAACATAACAGAGGTGCCCTACTAATATCCCACCAATGAACGAAATTTCCCAATTTGTCTCAGTTAAATCCTGGTTTTTCATGGTGAAGCCAGCGTGTTTTTTTGTTTACCCCATGAAAAATCTCTGCAAAATTCCAAAATTCGAGTAAAATCCCACGAAGGAAACCCCCATATTTTTCATGGGATAAAACATATTTTTCATAGGTGTTGCAAAGGAAACCCCCATATTTTTCCTATAGCTTTGCACCCCACCGCTGCTTGAGTCTAGCTGCAGTTGCTGCGCTTGCGCTTCCAGTAGCTTCTGCTGGAGCTGCTGGAGGTGTTTGCGACGTCCTCGCAACTCCTGGAATAGACTCAAAGTGGATATTTGGAGGTTTCCTAAGTCATAGGGGGTACCCGGGGTACCCCCCGTCATCATCTATTTTAATACCGTAGATTTCCCATGAACCAGCGTGCTCTTGGGGCAACCCCATGGACAACCATCATTTCTTGGATCCAAAAATTTCGGTGCCTCGAAAACATGTTCTCAAAGATGGCCCCCGAAATCATCCAAAATTATGAAAATTCTGCGGAAACCCCTGATTTCGGGCTGTATTTCTTCCCATTTTTTGGGAGCCTCCGAAATCTTCCAACATCCCACGGGTCCCACGGCCCGAAAAAAAGTTGCGTCCTGGATTTCCTGATCAACCTGCTCGTTGACATCCGAGATCGACCCCGGAGACCTACGGCACGGTACATGGCAGGTACGAACGATGGAAATATCATGGGATATACCCTCTGGTAATTTAACATAGCTATTGAAAATGGCCATTTATAGTGGATTTCCCATTAAAAATGGTATGGGATGCCCTCCGGTAATTTAACATAACTATGGAAAATCACCATTTTCAATGGGAAAATCCACTATAAATGGTCATTTTCAATAGCGAACTGTTAAATTACCAGAGGGTACTGAAATTTTTCTCATGGGATGAATATGGATGAATTGGGTGTGGTCAGACTTCCGACTGGCATCAAAATCATTGCTGTTGGCTCTGTTTTGGCTTCGATCCATGTCCCTCCAAAATAGAAACAATGCCCCAAGGTCGATGTGGAAAGCCCCAACTTTACATGTGAAACAGTTATTTTTGTTCGACTTGGAGCTTGCTTCCTGTCAGGGCCAACGGGTACTCCTGGCCAAATCATAGCTGCTTGGCTGTTTCAACCATTTCCACTATTTCTTGGTGAACTTCAGATCATAATCCCCGACAGAACTTGAGGGTGTTTGAAAATGGTTGAAAAAAAAAACTGCAACTATGGCCACTCCACTTTGATAGGGAAAAAAACATGATTTATATATAAACCATGAGTGTTTTCACCGTCTCGTGCCATCATTGCAGACAAACCCAATGATGCACCGTGCCTCACGATGGGGGATTGAACGGCGCCCTCGGCTCCCGGTCGCCTCAGCAGAAGGTTGATTTGAAGCACCAAAGATGTCATCCCATATGGGAAAAATGGCTGACTACATATTACCCTCTGGTAAACTAACAGTTCGCTATTGAAAATGGTGATTTATAGTGGATTTTCCCATTAAAAATAGTGATTTCCTATGGTTATGTTAGTTTACCAGAGGGTATCCCATAAAAGTGGAGAGCATCTCGAGTCAGCCAACAATCTCTATGGATCGATAAAAGGGGAAAATCTGCAGGAAACCATGGATTTACGCCCCAAATTTAGGGGCTACTTGTGGTTCTACTTTGCCCTTAAATCAATTCTGGGAAATAAATTCCGCTTAAATAGGACCCCCAAAATGTACAGTACTGAATCAAGGTTTTTGTGGAATGATCCTTTCTAGTCTCAGATACATGATCTTGTCTAATTGTTTATTGACACCTGCTGCCAAGGGCCGTAACCCAGTGACTCCAAGATCGTGTATATATTTTAGATTAATTGGATGTGTGCCAAAAAAATGAGTTCCTCCAAATCCAAACATTTAACATGGAGGTGCTCTCCATCGTTCCCTGACAATTTTAGGGGTCTGTCCACATTTCCGGACGAACCCTCATTTTTCCAAGACAAATTCCCATTTCGGATCATGTTTGACGGTTGAACCCCACATATTTTGTGCAAAGCCACATCAAATCCCTGTGAACAATCCCCATGTTGGATGGTGAAGTTTCACCACTGGGCACCCCAGACACGAAGCCCAGTCGCAGGGGCCGGACGCTGCGCCTGGGCTTCGTTCAACTTACAACTGGGGCTGGAGTTTGCCTGTGGATGCGTAAACCACTCACCGTCACTGTCCGAGCCTATTGATATGTAAATCCGGGAATCGTACCATCCTTGCACACCTGCAATGATCATTTACCAGGCTTAATCATCCAAGGATGGATCCTGGTCAATCGCGGTCGATAGAGGCCGCAGTCACCACTAGCTCCCTATGGTTTCGTAAGACTCAGATTCCCCGACCCCATCACCAGTGGCAAATCCTAGCCCTTCGATTGTATCTAAAATCCATTATTCCATGGTTCGTTTGATTGCTTGCTTGTTGGATCATTTATTCTAAGGGTCTCCATTCATGTTTGTTTCTGTTTCGGTTCCCTTCTGATTAAGCCACTATTCTTGGTTTGTTGGGTTTCTTGGTTATGTAGATTCTATTTTTGCAGCTTATACAACCTCTTTCCCCCCGTCGCTATCCCACCCGACATTGATATTGCATGTTATGTGGGTTCCATGCCATTTGTTTGTTGGCCAAGCACCTCTGATTCTGTTGGTTATAAACCCTCCGGCGACCCTCCGGTAGAATTACATGAGCCTCTAGAAAACCCATGGTTTCTGTGAAGTGATCTACGTTCACTGCTGCTTTGGAAATACCTAGGTTAAGTTACTGCTGGATAATTCCCCATGTTTTGCTCATTAAGTCACCATTCTTGCTAGTTGAATCCTGTTTTTCTGGCTATATCCCATGTTTCTGATCTTTACCGTCGATAACCCCGATACTACTGGGCTATATCCCCCATATTTATATTTTTTCATTATACATACCCTCTGGTAAACTGTCACATAACTATGGAAAATCACCATTTTTAATGGGAAAATCCACTATAAATGGCAATTTTCAACTGCTATGTTAGTTCACCAGAGGGTATATATATATATGTATACATATGTATTACTGAGATATAAGATGGTTATCATTGTCCACTTGCCATTCCAGAGATGAACATCCACTGTACTCCCAAAATCATCCGTGGCGGATCGTGTGGCGGATAACGAAGGGTGACGGGAAAGTCCCCGAGACGTCAGCTTCTTCCATTTATACCCTCTGGTTATGTCAACAGTTTGCTATTGAAAATGGTCTATTTATAATGGATTTACCCATTGAAAATTGTGATGTTCCATAGTTTTGTGACAGTTTACCGTAAATTTGGTTGTAAACTCTGGTTTCTATCCACTTGCTATGAATTGGGTGCCCTTATCCCCATCCCAAGAATTGCTGGTTGATGAGTATCCTGTTGATTTTGGCTGTGATAATCCCCAATCGATTAGCTTAGTGCAGTATAGATAGTATAGATGACCCCCTAGTTCTCAACCCAAGCATCAACCATCATTTGTCAATTATATCTCCACATCTTTTGATACTTAAAACCCACCAAAAAAAAGTGATGGTTAAATCCCATGTTCATGGCATTTCTCAGTTATAGGTGGGTTAAATCCCATAATCATTATCTGGTTGGTGGTTGAAAAACCATCTTGATAAATATGAGTTCGTCAATGGGTTTCGGATGACATCCCATATATGAAATGGAAAATCATCCAGCCATGTTTGAAACCACCAGTTTATCCCAGTTTACTTTGCGCGCCACGTTCGATGAAACGTGACCCGACTTGTGGGGTCTAGAGACCGATGGTGGTCAACGGAACCAAAGGGAAACTACCATGTGCAGGTGCAAACGGCAAGCTTTCCAACGCCTTTGACTGGCGACGGTATGTGCAACCCGTGCCACATTGAAGAAACCAGTCATCCACCAGTGACAGCCTAGCAGCAGGCCATGGCAAGGCAATGATCCCTGTGTGAAACAAAATCATCTGTGACCACGGCTTACCATAGTCCATCTGAAGCTTCACGTCCAAGTGGCGCAAGGTTTCTTTGAGCACCTTGATGAACCAACGTGCGCGCTGCTTGAAGGAAAAACCCCTCAAACTCAGCCAGGAAACACTTTTTCCATCCACCCATCGACCAACATGCACCGGCCCGGGGTGACCAGTGGACAACATGAAGTCAGTGTAAAGCTGGAAATGTGAGACCCACACAACAGGTGCAGCACAGTCAGTCAAAGTGTGCCAAAACCAACTAGCTAATAGTCGAACCATGGAGTCACCATACCACCGAGTGGCAGCAGCAGGGATAGACACCGCAGGAAGCTGTCGCCATGGCTGTAAAGGCACAGAAGGTTCCTGAGGCACACCTGGGAGTTCAGATAAACAAGTGACTTCTTGACGGACTACTTCCTGGCTAATCCGCAATAACACCCGTTGAACTGTACGGTTGAAGAACTCAACACTGGCGGTTGCCTGGCTATGTCGCCGTTGCAAATCCCAAAATTCCTCACCCCGCTGGAAATTAGCCCGCACAGCCTGCTTATCGGCTAAGCCGTTATGGCGAAAGCACCACTCAGCGAAAAAGGATGGAGCCTCATCAGGGCACTGATGTGCCGCAACCCTTGTGATGACGACCTTATGCCGACGTCCATCCAAAGCCTCTTCAATGCGATGCCATAAATCAGCATGAGCGCTATTCACTCGGACATGTGATCCAGAAATGAGCCGTCGCAACCTTTTCACAACTGCTTCACAGTCTGTCCACAAAAACACGCAACCGTCATGGTCAGCAGTAATTTGCAGAGCTATCATGATCGCAAAAAATTCAGCCCGCACCGAGCTCTGTAACAGTCCGGGTAGAGGACCAGAACCCAAAATACGGCTGCCAGTGTAATCAGTCACTCCATCACAAGATGCTTGGATCACCGCCCAAGCAGCAAAACGTAGCTGAACATCATGCTGTGCGAAGCAACTACCATCTGTGAATAAGTGAACCGCGCCTTGAAAGGTCACACGCGGGACCGACGGAGCCGGCAGTTGAGCAAAGTATTGATTCCATTCCAAAGCAGTAGTTGGGTGAAGCGACCAACCCGATGTGGTCAAGGATTCGGGCAATTCACTAATACACTTCAATGTGACAGGGCAAATATGAGACCTAAAACAATCAAAGTGAGGGCACTCCCAGAATCGATGATATCGGCTGTCACTGCATGGGCAAAATGGACACAGGTCCGAGGCAGAGTCATCACAATAGGCCTTGCCGTCCTGTGTCACATGGGATCCATTCAACAGTTTACGAAACAAGGCTTGGTCAGAGACCGCAAGGGAACTTACCCATTTCTTGGTGTCGGAGGCATCAGCATTTTCGAGTCCAGTGAAACATGGTCTGTGATCTGTATAAGCTGCAACCACTCGGGGCCATTGCAAAGTGAGTCTGTAGTGAATCTCAGCAGCCGAGATGGAAAAAAGGGAAAAACTACCCAACAAATCGCTGACCCAGCCTCTGGAATCAACATGCCATCCTAACAACTGCAACCGGGTGCTCAGGGTGTGAGTGATACTGTTCTGTGGAATGATGGAAACTCCAGAGGCAATCTCAGCCAAAACACTCTCCACATTATCCTTAGCACCGCAGTCCCGTGTGAGACGGATGGTTTGCAATATTGCCCACCCCAAGGGATCAACATCCACCGCTTCGATCAAACCCAAATGGACCATAGGGTTAGCTCCAGCAGCATCAGCACGAATGCCTTTCATCGCACCTGATCGAAGGCTCTTGAACGTAGAGAAACTCAAAGAGGCAGCCGCAACTCCGTGCAAACCCTTAGGCCATGCCGAGCACTTGAGCGCACGGATTTTCTGTGCATACCCACAGGCAGACAAACGCAAACGAGACCACAATGGCGTGACACTTTGCACACGAGCCATTAACGTGGAGTTGGTATGTTGCTTACTGATCTGGACATGGGCACCCAAGTTACGTCCATAATGGACAATACCAAGACCCTGACGACGAAGGGACTGGCGCCCCGCACTACAAACCGACCAAGTATGAGTTTTCTTCTGGTCAAGCAAGAGATCCATCACCTGGGTGAAACGTTCAAGGCATTCAAAGGTCTGCTGCATCATGTCTGGGCATGTCAACAGGACTTGCCAATCGTCAACATAGGAGAGCGGTTGGCACATAGGAAAGAAGTGCACCATCCACGCATGGAAAAGCATGTCAACCACAATCATTCCAACACAGGACAATGCACATCCTTCGGGAAGGCCGCAATTGCTCATCGCAGGATCACTAAGGCTACCTCCGATCTGAAACCTACGGGCCATGCCGGACAAAGCTCCCGCCCATCCACGCAAAACATTGAAGGGGATGCCAATCAAAGCACAAGCTTCAAAAACCACTGCCCGCGGCAGGAAATTAAAAGCTTTTTGAATGTCAACCACAATTCCGCACAAGGGGATATTGCAGGCATATGCTTGCTCTATGGACCAAAGAACATGGGACCAAAGCTGACCTGCAAAGTGACGTGGTCTGCTACCATAAAGTCCAAGGGGAAGAACCCGATCCAGCGCACGAATGATGTGTCGTGCGTGGAAAGTGCCCCAGCACCGATACAACAAGCCCAACACAGTGATAGGACGAAAGTCCAGGACCTTTTCGGGGTTGGGTGTTTTGGCAAGGCAGGACACACGGCCCGCGACCACTTGGGAGGGCCAAGCACCAGAAGATTCCGCTTGGGCAAACATGCTGGCAAAATTCTGCAGGGCTTCCTTCGGCATTGCCTTCAAATCTTGCAAAGACACACCATCCAGCCCCCCAGTCGCCGAGGGATTCTTATGAGAGACAATGGCAGCAAGGGCAGGAGCATCAAGTGGAGGGAGGCTAATGTTCCGTGCTGGCAAAACCCGCCTGGCGAAGTCCAAGATTGCATGCCAGCGATCAGCTGGCACATCTTTGCGTCGCTCCCACATGTTCTTCCACGTGTTCAGGAACTCACGTGATAAAGCCACATGAGTGCCAATTTTTGACATCTGAGTGACCGAACTACCTATGGCAACATCGGAGACATCCTCAAGCCACAGACAATCGTGCTCAGCGTGAACAACCTGCAAGGGTTGGCCATGACAAAAGATGGGGACATCAGGTTGAAACTGCACAGCACGATCAAGCACAATGGACTGGTCATCATGACGAATCTCAACAACTTGGGCCGGAACCCGGCGCAGCAAAATTTCAACTCCATGGGTCTTGAAGTCACGCAGGTCATGAAAAATTGCATTTGGGTTCGAATCCCGTTTGAGGCGCGCGTACAACCGAGAGGAGGTACGCAATTGGCTCTCAAGGTCTCTCAGGGCAATTTGCATGGTGTCTAACAGGCATACTGCCACATGATGGTCTGGAGGACACAAGGGAAACTCGTCGGGCGCACCAAAAGTACGCACGGCATGGGACCGCCACCAACAAGGAAAATTTGGTGAAAACCCACTGGCACGGACAATAGACCCCCAAACACGTTTAGCATGCAGAGACTGGCATGAATGATTAAGGATATGACGTATGTACGCTTGCATCCTTCTTGCCTGACGCAACCATTGGGCATGTCTGAACGAGGCTCCAACAAAGTGAGGTTTGATATCCGCCTGACCTCCAATTTTTTGGGGGGAAACTTTGCCATCAGTGGCCTTAACCGTTGCCTTCGTACGCGCCCTGCCAAAAGCATTCTGAGGCACCTGGAAGGGCATGGCCACTTGTGCCTGTTGCTCAATATGCTGCCACAAGGCGTGGTACTTGGCATCACCAGAATCAACAGTAGAGTCCCAAAAGGAAGGGTCAACTTGCCATGTTTGCGGACAGGGAAACGGTTGAGGCGCAGGCCAAACACTTCTGGGGATTGACAGGCCAAGGGAGTGAAACTCACCCCAAATCACCGCATGGTCAGGGAAAACGTCTTGCTCAACATGAACAGCTTTCAGGAGATGTTGGAGTTCAGGTGAAACAAAACAGTAATCCTTACGTGTGGCCTGTTTGCAGGTGTATTGGATGGGAGAGCCCCACATGCAGTGAGCAAGATCTTGTAGATCACGAAACCCTGCAGCTTCAAGTTGGTCAAAGGCAGGGAGGGACCCAGCCTGCACATTCCAATCGCCCGCCACGAACCTAGGTCCTCTGGCCACATAACACACATGGTTAACAGTGTGAAACAAGAGGGCTTCATTGTTGATTTTCTGATCTGGATAGGTACTGGACTCAGGTTCGCCATAAACTGTACCTCCTGTGACCCAAACATCATGGACCAACGTGGTAGAAATGAGCACACGCGACGACTCAACAAGTGCAACAGGCAAGTCTGAGGGCACACCTCGCGTTGGGTACTTGGACAAGACAGAGACACCTCGCCAAGCTGCATGGTAGGTCCGATTTTGTTGAGAAGGCACAGGGTGGCCTCCCACACAATACTTGAATTGGCTCTTGGCAAAATGCAAACTAGAGCGAAACTGGGCAAACGTATGGTGACACAAATGGGTTTCGGAAACTGCCCACAAATCACCATGAGACAAATGTGAAACAACATATGGCGCTTTGCCTTTCAACCCGGAAGGATTGAAAACCCCAAGAACAAAATTGGATTGAGCAGGCCCTGGGTTGGAAGCTTCACCAACTCGACAACACAAAGCGAAGGCAACCACATAGGGCCAAAAACCCCAACGTCTTCTGTGAGACGACCGAAATTGGCACACAGCCAATACCCAATAAGCAAAAACCCAAGCAAAGAGGCTCAGGGCCCACACACATATGTTGAGGATGGCACAGCCCCACGGAATCAACATGAGTGCGAACCCCCAGCCTTGTAGTCATTCCATACCATCATCCCGTGGCCGTTTAGCCAAGAGGCCACGAATTTGCTGCATCTGCTGTTCGAAAAGGGATTGCATGGTTTGATTTTGGTTCTCCAGGTGGCCGTGCAACTGCTGCGCCTGAGCTGTGACTTGGCCCTGCAAAGCATTGATTTGCTGTGTGTGCTGGTTGCTGTGATCAGCAAACTGAACTTCAAGACCATGCTGCTTTGTCAGGAGCTGCTGAACCTGGCCCTCCAAAGCAAAGACCCGATCCGGCAGATCATCCTGGTCCATTGGGGGCTGAATCTTTGCTAACACAGCTGATTGGATGCGATCTTCGATCTGCTGGAGACCCTCTTGTGGTCCTGAGGCAGCAACGTGGGCAGGTTGATAGGCCTTCCATGGGTCACTGTGAGCCCACGGGTCAGGCTCAGATTTCTGTCCAGCGGCAGGCATACCACACAAGGCCAATGTGGCCGCGGAACCAACCATTGTGGGTGAAACAGTGGAACTTGGCCCTTCATGTTTGACCTTGGTAATCATGATTTCCCCGGTTGTGGTGAGAATAATGGACTGTGCTGGCTCATCAATGGACTGAACTAACCACATGACGCCTTTTCCTGGGCAAGGTGTGGAGGGCTGAAGGGGCCGGCATTCCCACCCGGCCTTCAGGAGCACCTTGGCAACAGCCTGACGATCCGCACCGTAGGGGAAAGGCCCCACGGTGTACTGACATCTCGGTCCACTTGGCAAATACACCTGATCAGGTCGGACAAGTTGGTGGATCACTTTTGCCTGGGACGTAGCTACCCGGAGGCCACGTCGTTCTCCCAAACGGGCAAGACCCGTCACCGCAGGGTTGGTTTGCATCAAATGTTGCATCTCTTGGAAGGTATGCTTCGGCGTCCACACCACAGTGTAGTCGGCAAGGATATCCTTGCCATCAGCTGTCCTGGGCTCACAATAGGCTCCGGAGGATCCACTGGAGGCCAGCAAAACTTCCAACAGACAATGTGGGATTCGGAGGCAAACCGAGAAAAACTCCGCTTGTGCCGGTGGACATGGCTTGAAACCTTGTCGCAAGAACTGGCGACGCCACACATCTAAAATAGGGTCACGAATAGAGAGATTCTCATGATTGTGCCAACTGGAGCACTGGCAATTCTCATCGAAACACCTTTTTAGCATGGGCAGCAGTGAAACCAGGCATTTGATGGGAGAGTGGCAGAAATCCTCCCAATCACCACGCAGCTCATCTTTGTAAACAAGGACCTTCAATGTGACGACTTCTGGTGTGTCAACTGATAACACTGCACTGCCAGATGACTTTTCCACGAGCCCTTGACCAACCTGGACCAGAACAGCCTCAGCAAGGACCGGCTCATTATTGACTGTGCAGCGGCAGGGGACCGTGATGGACGCATGTGGCAAAGCTGTCTGGACGACCGTGCCTGAGGGATGCAAGACTACCAGCGCCAAAGGCTCCTGTGACACTAAACTGCCCGCCTTGAGATATGGGGCGGCATCCTGCAAAGACATTAAAATGAAACCCGAACTGACAGGGCCAATCTGCTTCATTGCAAGTTGCGGCAAAGGTTTGTTCTGGAAACAAAATGTATTTTCCAGGACCTGCAGTTTACTAGGGTCCAAATCAATCGGCTGTGAAACCATCTTTGGTTTCCCCTTCCCCTTGCCTTTGGCAGAAACGGGGCGTCCTTTGTTGGATTCAACTGCTGTCATGAGCTCGCTGGGCAACACGAACTGGAACTTTGAGTTGTTCCCCAACATCTTCAATTGGCGCCATGGTTGACGGTGATTCAAGGCGGCAATGATTTGCTCGCTGCCTAAGGTTTTAATTGCGGTTTTGGCTCTTTCTTCAAGCACTTCGGCCGGGACACCGTGTTTGGCAAGTTCACTGCACAAATTTTTCTGGAGTTGACCCTGAGGAACAAATCCAACAGGCCCTCGACTGCGTGCCAAGACGGAAGCAGGACACCTCTCAAACAGCCACTGACGAACAGCGGAGACACCACCAGAAACACAAAACCGGGCAACAGAAATGGCAAGCACATTCCATGTGAAAACTCCACAAGACTGCGCGAAGCTAACAGGCAAAAACTGGGCATGAACCGGATGGCCACCAATGACCATGGGACTGACCACACCCTCTTCAATGATCAAAGTCACACTGTTGCCGTCTTTGTGAAAATCACCTAAAATGGCGCCAGCACAAGTTTGGAAGGGGCTGGAGACAAAGCGGTGCAGTGCATCACTCAAGCAGGAGCCATTACCATCAGAAATGAGACAAACCAAAGGGGACCGGCAATCTCTAGACAGCGACTCAAGGTGATAGGACATCTCAACAAAAGTCATACCCATGCCTGGCTGCACCCCTTGTGGCATGCGAGCCACATCATGCTGGACAAACCCCTCCAAAGTGAAACCCTGATGCCGTTGAAATTCAGCCACAAAAGGGGCCCACTCAGGCATTATAGGGAGTTGCCTGGATTCCCAATTGATACCCCATCCCCAAACAGTCGGGCATGTGAAGGGACCATTGCGGAGAGCATCGGCAAAAGCTGTTTTCATGGCCCAACATCTGGTGTACAAGTCGTCAAGAGACCTGGGTACCACCGTGCCAAGGACAATGTGAGCCAAAAAACTCACAGTCATGACTCCACACAAACGATCAGTGATGATGCCATGGGGAACCCGATGAATGGCATGAATTGCCGAGCCGCATTTGTGAGCAAGGTGTTGCAATATACGGTCAACACTAGCCTCATCTGCTGCGAAATCAGACAGTGTATGGGCAATCAAACCCTTTGGGCAAGGTGCAAGCCAAACTGGGATCCAATGTTGCTCAAACAGCAAAGCAGTGATAACATGATTATCATCCTGACCAATGAGTGGCCTGTGTTGGTCAATCCATGTGCGAAGCTGATCATCCTGACCATCCAGCCATTGCACAATGGACAACGGAGGGATCACCAAAAAACTTCGGTCACTTGGCTGTGCCTGACATTCCACTAAATGATGCAGTTGAAACAACATCTCATCATCAGACATGGCATAACTATGGGAAGTCACCTGAAGAAGACGGGTCTGACGTTCATTCTCATCCGGTGAAACAGGAGATATGCTCGGCACTTCGGACAAAACAGGCCTCTGGCTGACCAACCCAGGCGGCAAAGGTGAAACAAGTCTCTGTTCGCCTACGGGCATTCTAGGGAGTGGCCCGGATTCCCCTCTTTCAGTAGGCAACTGAGCACTGCTGGCGGCATGGGACGAATCGTTTCTCTGCACAACCTCATGCTGAGGCACTGAACCTGAACCGCTAGATGCTGACCCCTGCTGAGGCCGTGGACCATTACCCCAAGCAACAGGGAGCGGCGTGGAGTCAATGGAGTACAAGTGAGCCACAAAGGAAGCTCGCATGTTGGTGTGCAAAGTGCGCAGTTCTGCAACTGACTCCGGAAGTGGCATGTGCATGATGACATGTGCCAAAAAAGCCATGGAATGAGCCCCACACATATTATGGGAAGGCAACCCTCCTGGGATACGATGAATGGCAAAGGTACGAAAATCCAAAAAATCAGTGATGACTCCAATGATCTCTTCGACCTGAGTGAAATCACATGCGTCATTTTGGAAGGTATGCACTTGCAAAAGGTTACCTCGCGGTGAAAACCAAAGTGGGATCCAGTGATTATCCACTGCAAATGCAGTAACAATGTTCAGGCCCTGAGTGCGAACTTGAATATGCTTCTCACACCACTGCTCAGTAATGGTCCTGCCAATGGATGACCAACAGTTGAAAACCAGTGGCTCAAAAAAGGCGAACGAACGCCCAATCAACGTGTTGGCAGTTTCTTGACGGGAAATGAGCTGAACAATGTGAAACCTGACCTCATCATCCGCCATGGCCAATCCACGTTCATTGATGAGGTCAATTCGTTGGTCCCTAGTGATATGAACAGGTGGAGGCTGAACCTGTGGTGCGGCCTCAGCATCACCAGCGCCCCAGACCCATGGGCGGTCAACAATCTGACAACCCTGCAAAATCTGAGCGTACCTGTCACGCAAAAGATCATGAATAGCACAAGCCTCATTGTTATCAGTGGGAAGCAAGGAGCCAATTAGAGCATTCCGCAGGAAAGCCAAAGCTAATGACCCACACAGTTCCGATGTGAAGAACATTCGATGCTCACGGCAAATCAATGCACTGGAGAAACCAAGCCCGACAGCCAACTTTTGCACAACCCGGTTAAGCTGATCATGGCATGCAGTGTTGTGATCCCATGTGGAAACTTGCAAAACATCATGTGCCGGAGACATGAAAACAGGGATCCAATGTTGATTGGCAAGTACTGCAGTGATGACTGGCATGTTTGACTGCCGAACCTCAGGGTGGTCCTTGGCCCACAACGTACAGTCAAAACCCCTACCAACAATCCAAGCAGATGCAAGAAGCGGGTCGATCACCCGGACCTCAGTAACCGACTTGGCATGTCGGAGCTGGTGATCCCTATGCATCAGCGTCAGGGCATGAAGGTGAAAACGCATTTCATCATCGGCCATCAAGTGACCCTGGGCAGCTAACAGCTGAAGTCGATCTTCGGTCCGGAAAAACTGATGCCTAACTGACCACAGTTGATGGACATTTGAAATGCTCGGCAATGACAGCTTCAAAAACTGATCACCCTGCAAGCACAGAAACGGGGAGGCATCCAACCATGGTTGATCAGGGGCATTAGGATTGGGCACCCCACATTCCCCAACATCAAATTTGGAAACCTTCCTAGGGGGAGACGAAATCTCAATGGGATCCTCAACAGGCTGAGTCCACGCTGCAGTTGGTGAAACAACAATCTCGGGTGACGAACAACTCTCAATGATTTCAGCGGTGGTGGTGACGACAATGACCTGACCAACTTCCATTACATGGTCCCCACCAATCGGTCTGCCATTCAATGAAACTCCAGCAACATGCAAATCGCCAACAAGCTTTGACTGCGCAGCCAAAAATTGAGAAACAGTAGCATTGCACTTGGGCTGGAAACGGATCGGGGAATCACCTGATCCTTCAATGACAACCGTACATGAGTCAACCTGCCAACAACCAGCTGTTGTGTGATCATCCACAATGCCAGGGAAATCCATCCAAGGAGTTGCTGGTTCATCATGGTCTTTATCAGTGGGGTCATACACCGTTGCAGGAATACACTCCTTGCTACGAATGAGGAAATCGAGGATACTGGCGATGCTTACATGACCATCAATCTTGTCGTCCCACCGCATCGGGTACAAAAGCTCACCAAGTGACAGTTCTTTGAATTCGGACCAATACTGCATGAGAGTGAGAAGCTTCGTGTCACTCACTGGATCAGTGTTACATGGCCAAACCTGCCTGCATCGCACCAACATCCATGACCTATAAGCTTGGATCTGCAACCCTGAGTCAAGAGCAGGAACCTGGCGTATCTTGGACACATGTGCATGGACACTACTGAATACCCACAGAGCCTGGATGGGGCAGGCAATTTGACCTACCGCTGAAAGGGTGAGACGTACGTTTTCACCAAAGTCAATCACAGGGTCCATGGTATTGAGTCCCATAGCTTCATTGGGGTGCAAATGCCTGAATGAACATGAACCGTCAGGCAAGGCAAAGCTTCGGACGATGCAACCATGGAGACCTTTGGTCTCAAGGCGATGACTGGAAAAACCCGCACTTCTGCAACCACATGGGCAGGCACGTGTCTGTGATCCCCAGGCATGCAAGGCACATGGCGCAACTGACTTGCTGTTAAGCACGTGCTTAGCATGTGTGTCAGTGGTAACCCCAAATGCATGCAATTCAACGTCATCCAAAGCCAGTGCAGCTTCATCAGAAGGAGCCCACATGCGGATTTCAGGGATGATTTGCTGAACCTCCCAAAGGTTGGCCAATGGTTCCCATGCTTTAAGGGGGACAGACCCAATTTCAGGGGCGCTAAGAACCCACCAGACTCTGTGCCGACGACAAGGCCAAACATGGTCCAACTTAAGTTCAGTGCGTGCCATCTGAAACCCTGTGCATTGGCAAAACTTGGACAGCTCAGCCTGGACAAAACAGTCCTGGGCGGCCGGAGCCACGCATTCTAAAATCACAATAGAGGCATTGAGAAAATAGGCAGCATCCAGTGTTTTGGTGAGACTACTTGCACGGGAGTCCAATTGGCTTTTTCCATCTCCCAACCGCGAAAACGGCTGACAACTGAACCCCGAGGAAACCACAGAGGCTCCTTTGGACACTTTCCAAACTTCATGGATGATCTCTTTACTCCCTACATCCCCGCAAATGCGATACGCATCATTGGCTTTGGCATGGAGAGTGACCATGTGCTCATTTTGGTCCACGGCGACAACAACATCAAGGCCAGCAGCAAGAGCACCTTGGGCCATTCCGCCGAAACCTGAACAGAGGTCTACTACAGCCTGACATGAGTCCCAGGTAGGGTGGTGATGACCCAGGACAACAGTGTCTTTTGTCGCAGCAACTTTGGGGACTGGGAATTGGGTGATCAGGCAAACATTGAACAACGTGTAGGCAGTGAAACCAGCAGTGAGACAACCATCATACAGGAATGAAACAGAGCCATTGCGAGTCTTCAGCAAATGTCCAGTGTGTTCATTGTCAAAAACCATCACAGAGCAAACCAGGTCGATTGTACCACCATTGTCAACAGAAGCAAAGTCCATGGCAAAACCCGACATGGCAAGAAGAAGGGGACCACTAACCTACCCACGTTCAGCAACGATCAGCCGGACTACTGGAAAGCTTGGGCACCACGGCTGTTTGAAACCACCAACCAGTTATAGTATATTATCAGTAACATTGAGTAACTATCAGTAACAATAAGTAACTATCCCAAGCGGCAATTCCGCGGCCAACTCTTCAGGAGACATCTCCGTGCTCGGCCGTCCATCGATCCACAGCAAAAGGTCACCTGAAACCGGGGAAAGAAGATGGGATATGAATGGAATATCATGGGCTTTATACAGGATGGGCCCCCCCAGTTATAAGTTGGTTTATAAACCATGATAATCCCCATTAACTATAATTATATCTACCATAAACCATAGAATTCAACCACTTATAAACCAACTTAGATATCTTGGGGGCCCCATCTTGTAGTGATGTAGGGATAGGGAATTACTGGGGAATGGGAGATGTGACCAAGAAAATGATGTTTGGATCTGTCCCAAATGGCCATTTCTAGAGGAAAGATCATGTTTTTTCCCATGGAATTGAGAGTACAGCGTTTTCAGACAAACCAGATGGGAAAAAAATCGGGCTTACAACGGAATAGTATATGACTTATATGACATTCATATTTGATGGATATAATGCAGTGATGCGGGATATCGGGATATCTACGTGCATAAGGCTGTGTAAAGATTTACAAGAACTTCCGATAAAAACATCCAAAGATTTCACAAATGGGAATGTAGGAAAAGGGAAATTAAATAATGGGAAATCTAACCAACCAACAAAATGATGTATCATATGGTTGTGTCTGATTGGTGAGTGTATACTCTAAAATCACCATTTTGATTAAAAAAAGAAAAGATGAGAAACCAAGAAATTTGGAGGCACCAGTCACCATATTTTCAGAAACCCTTTTTTTTTAGTACAGATATACCACCTCCCAACCACACCTTGACCTTGAGAATCACCATTTTTTTGATGAAACTAGTCCCCCCACAAGATGTTTGACAAGGTCTATGTCAGTTGGAGCGATGGTAAGTGTATATATAGTATAGATATACTAGTATATACTAGTTGTACAATTATTGTATACATGTGTCGTGGGGAAAAAAAAGGTACATTGGCCAAATGTTTCTTGTTTCATGGGGGGCCCACGATCCTTAGATGTCCAATAAAAAAAATCTGAATAGCCCATAAACAATTGTGAATGTCCATCTGATAGACTGGGAGTACCCTCCAAATAGTCACAATGCAACCGTTTGGGGTTTATTAATCCAGGGTTGACATGAAATAAGTAATAGTATTGGCATTAGCATTCGTATTAATATTTGTAGTATTTAAGTAGCATATCCAACTGGGTATCAACAAATATCAACAATGCATCTTGATGCAGTGTTTGGGGTAAGTTTTCCCAAATGAACAGTTTGTGTCTCCCCAAGCTCATGGGCTCTGAAAGTCACCATCAAGCCTGGTCGGAAAACCTTGTTTGCAATAGTCAATCAACATCATTTCAGAGCGGCATCAAGTGAAATCATCATTTGTTTGAAGCTGACGACCAGGAGCCCCCGCGCGCTTGAAGTCCGTGGTTCCAAATGAATCCATTCGTCACAGACTTCGATATCGATGCCTGCCGTCGCCGCTTCAAAAGATGAAATATGAACAAATGAACATCCAAAGAAACAATCAGTCGAAGCATGATTTTAAGATATTTCAACAGAAAAATCATGAAACAATCATGTATACAGTCAAGTAGCCACATGTGGTTTGAAGCCCCAAAAAAAATGGGAAAGGTGAAATTTACATAAATTTACCATCATTCTAGAATCGGATTTGACCAAATTCAGCATCTTTTTGAGGAGTAGCTATAGATTCTCCAGGGTCGCAGATTCTTCATCTCGCACCTCCTGCAGGCTGGCTCCAGTGAGTTCCAATCCCAAGTCCAGAACTTCCTATCGGAGCGGTTTTTATGGGGGTCCACCTTGGGAAAAAATATCACCCCCATAATGTCCTTTTGGTAAAAATAGAGGGGCCGGTTTGGTATACCATCTATCATCATTTACCTGTGGTTAAAGGGGTAATACACCCCTCTATTAATCAACCAACCAATGGGAAAAGGATATGCCCCAAACTGCTGGGTGTTTTACCAGTTTTACCACTTTGACACTTTGAAAATGCGATGAACATATCGATATTTTAACATCATGTCCATGTTCGAAAAAATCATGAGCTGGAATTGGGAGGGCAACACCATTAGCCTTGTCGACTATTTCAAAACCATTTCCATGTACCATTTGACTAGCATATTAATCCACACTGGCCTACTCCCGGAATCGTCTTACACAACGATCCAAAGATGTTTGGATTAATCCAAAACAATATGTCTTTGATCTTGGTGAAAGGCAGAATTAAACCAACATAGCCACATAGGCCAAATACCCAAACCCAACCCTTCACTCGTCACCTGTCGCTTTGTCCAAAAAATGGGGTACCTCGAAAATCACTGGTCTAATCATATTGTCCCCATTCAAATTGACAGTGCTAAACCTCCCATTTTTTGAACAAAACCATACCCAGTGAGTGGCCCAGAACCCTGTGGGCGATGCCGGAACCCCCATGTTCAATTCCCATACTGTCGGCCTTTCCTAAAATACGGCTACCCCAGTCATCATCCATTTACAATAGGATTTTCCATTATGACCCAACCATTTTCGGGTACCCCCATTTATGGAAACCTCCAAATGGTTGCGGTGGGAACACGGCGCCCTGTTAGAAAATGCCTCGCTTGCGTCCACCCAAAAGTCCTCACAAACTACGGATGATCCAAGATTGGCATGGATAAATGTGGAGAAATGTGGTGGAAATGATGGATTCATAAAATTGGAAAATATATGGAAATAATTGGAGATGATCAGAAATTCTATGGATGCAAACTATGGATACAAAACAGTAACGCGTCAGCAGTCGAGACCTGGAGAAATCAACTTTGGCTCACAGCCATGCGCCAGATTCTATCTGGCTGATAGGATTTCCAAAACAAAAACATGAGATTTTTAGCAACCACATAAACCATCATTTCTCCATGATCTCGCAATGATCTCGCCATTTCTTGCCCGGAAGTCGCCACGCTTGCCAAGTAATTCTCACGTTCGATGTTTACTGGTCACATTCTGCTACTAACAAACCACAGAATAACAGCATATGGGACCCAAAACGAACAGAGCCGGTTACATTCAACAAGGGTTTCTGCTGTTGATTCAAACAGCGGGAAGGGAAACTTTGGGTTCACAAGTGGGTTACATACCATGAATGAGTAACCTCCGGGAATCAAACAATTGAAAATCCCCTATAAATGGATGTTTTTAGCTGGGAAGATCATCTATAAATGGTGGATTGTCCAATGGTTGAGCAAACCGGAGGGCAGATGGATTGGTGGAAGGGAAAGTTTACCCAAAAATCATGCGTTTCTTTCCATCAACCCTAAGGGCATCAATCTATCCCACAGGATCCACGCTAAGTAAACCCATCCTCCCAAATGCAAAACGCCTTATATCAATTTGGGGCCCCATGTGGAATATTTAAAAAAAATTAGGTGGGTGAAATGATTTGCAAAGCCCAGAAGCTGGGATGTTTCAACCACATCATCGATTCTTCGTCATCCCAGTAGATATCCCCATAAAACCATATCATACATTCTTCTGGGATAAAATAGATTATGAACCATGTGTGTATAAACATGTATAAACCATGGCTTTACTAAGTCATGGTCATCCATGATCTCATGGATTATCATGGATGCAGGTACCCGGGTACCCATAACCCCCTGCGCACCCCCTTGCCGCTCCTTGACAGGTGAAGGAGCCGTGACATTCTCCACTTCCAAGGTATCGAAACCCTTCGGTGCGGTGCGCAGCAGGGCTTTCGCCTTGGAGATCCGGCGGCCCCCTGGGAGCCCCCTGGGCCCCTGGGAGGGCTGGGAAAGTGCCCTGGCTTCGTAGGCTACATGGGGATCCTATGGTGATTCATAGGAGTTCATGGGATCATATGGGATATTCCCTGGGGTGATTCGAAAAGATGTGGAATGGCGCAATGGCTTCTGGGGAAATTGATCTGCAAATAGTGGCGCAATGGCACATCGAGCTGTTAGTTTACAGGAGGGTATGAAGTAAAATGGGGATATATCTACCCTCTGGTTATTTAACATAGCCATGGAAAATGGCCCATTTATAGATGGTTTACCCAAGGTTACCTATTAAAAATGGTGATTTTCCATGGCTATGTTAAATAACCAGATGGTAGCAGAGAAATTGAGATGTGCACTTCCAACTATATGAATCAACAAGAGTCGGGGCGGGAAGACGGACAAACATGTTGGCATATGTTTCATCGACAACACATGTGGACTTGAAGCAAGAATGAGGGAAAGACTTCCCGAACAAGAACAGTCGGATACTTGATAGACAATAATGTTAGTAAGTAAAGCATAATAAACCACCCATATGTTGATGGTTTATACCACTCATGTATGGTAAAATTGGGGCTGGCGGATCCTATTGCTTTACTCGCAATCGGAATCTCACCGGTCCAGTCATCATGGATGGTTCATTAAGGATCGTCTCCAAGCCCGCGTATGCGATCCAATGACTGGGGGGCGAGTTGAATGGGTCCAAAAAAATGGGAAAAAAGCAACAACTGATGGTGGAAAATGCTGAGCTTTCCATCGAATTTGGGGCATTTTGGGGCATCCGATTTTCTCACACAAATCTAAACCCATTGTCATCATCATAGATGATTGAAACGTTTGATACAGCCCAAGGGTATATCTCTGTAGAAAGACACGTATCCATGCACAGCTAGACATACATGCGTCCATGTATAAACAAAAGGTGATCATATTGATTCATATTGCATAAGTAGAGTAGAGGTTTTCTAAAATAGGGCTACAAGAAATCATCCAAAATTAGACCATCCCCCATTTCAAAAACCCCCTAAATATACACGTGTACAAAGTGTCGCACAATCTATATCTATGTGTACCAAAAAAAAAACCTTTGACCTCCAAGAAATAAAAAGGCCCCTTCAAAAATCGATGGAAAAAATTGGCGACATCATGAACCATCCCTGGTTGGACCTCATTTTCTCCACAAGCCTGTTGTTCAGCTGGCGCCCAGACCGCGTCGGCCAGGTCGCCCCTCAAGTGGCTGCGCACAAGCCTCGTGGAAGATTGGTTCAGAGCCGGGGGATTGGTCAAAATGTCCTCAGCAGAAACCACTGATTCTAGTTATTCTAGTCAATGTTTGGTAGAAACAGCATCTACTTTTAGGGCTCAATGACTTGACCCATACCCAGTCATGTTGCCACTGGACTGAACATGGAAAGCTTCGTTTGAAGCCCAAAAACTAGGGACTTAGACAAACAGCCCAGATTGCCGCGGATTCGTCCCAAGTTTCAGACCAATGTGACCAGGTAGAACCTGCTGCTGCGTCCTACTCAATCAATGGGGTATAGTCATTTGATACCCCTGTTAGTTTCGTAATATATATATATAATATATATATATAATTATATATATACATACAATATATATTCATGGGTTTTACATAGGTTTGTATATGTGTTATAGCTATAGTCATAGTCATAGTCCTTGATGAAGTCACCCAGAAGGACGCAGAATGAAAATGTTGAATCTGCTCCCCTCCTGCACCGGTCACACCTGCAGGAGTCTCTGGCGAATCTTCTTGCACTAGAAGGTGAACCTCACTGGAATTCACTGGCAGAAAAATGGATGAATCCCCAAGCAGCTGGGAAAATGAATCGGAAAATGAGGTTCCTCTGGCAGTGGAATGAGATACCTGAGATACCTCATTTTCAGCAAAAACCCACATCAGCATCAACCAGTAGCCTCAGTTCAGAAGAGAAAACATATGGGAGACCCAGCCCCATGCCAGGGTTTCTGGTGTGTCAAATTTTTAAAATTCTAAGTTCCCTTTCTTTCAGAACCCTACCAAACATAAATAACTCCTGCCTTTACAACTCTGGAGCTGAGCCCCAAACCCCAAGCAGCCCGGGCCTGTGTCAAAAGAGATTGGTCATTTTGGATTTTGGATACCGCCATTTTAGGAAACGCCCATTTTATACGCATAGTTGCATGTACACATACTATAGTGCGGATACAGGGTAGACTGCTGTTCTGTCTTGGAATATCCAATGAATATCCACTATGTGAGTATAGGTCAAAACAATCGGTATGCGGGCAAGTTTGCCATCCAAGGGCGATTTGGGTTGCAGGATGGCATTCCTTTTCCTGCCTCTAGAATGTTCAAGAAGGTGCTGTACAGGTGTGAGACTTTTTGGCAATTCAGCCTGTCACTTTGTGCGGCAGGACTTCCAATTAAGCAATCTGGGTTCTGCTCTTCATTGAAGGCTCGGCGGTCTTTGCTTCTTGCACTGGTCACTAGGTGCCGGAAACTTGGGGCTTTGGGCACCACATGTAGAAATATGTGGACATGTTTTTTGCACAACAAGATCTACGTATGTGCGTGTGTGTGTGTGTGTGGACGATTTGAAGATGTTGTTGGTTTCAGTCAGCGAAAAGTCTGCTACTTTCACGGTGCCTCTAGCCCCACATGTTTCCATTTCCCTAAGAGCATACTACAAGGAAAAGACCAGACTGACATTGTCGTCGGACGAGATGTATGACATGTTCAGGTAGGACTGAATGAGTGTCCGCGCATATGAATGTCTGCGAGCAGTTGTTTGCAGTTGGTGGTGCATCTCGGTTGAATCTTTGGCGGCGATCATCTGTAGCAAAATGGTGTCTTTGATCTTCAATCGTCTCAGCTTCGTGGGACGTGCCAAGACATCCTCCACGGCTTCATCTTGAACAGCGTGGTGGCAAAATGCACATTGATTTCCTTTGTCACAACCATGTGTTGAAAAGAAGAACACACAAGGCTCACATATGTGAGACGCCTGGGAGGAACCCATCTCTTGGTCCACAGACCGAAGCATCCTCTCAAATCGGCTGCAGACTTGTGGCCCACTGTTGGACGTCTCCAGACGCTGAAAACGCGGATCTATCACCTCCTGATTCCGGATTCGGCAGATCCCAAATGTCACGGACAAAGAAAGAAAATGTGGGCACTAAAAACGTTTTCCAACTGGGTATCACAAAAAAAAATATCAACAAATCAACGCTTGAACAATGCATCTTGATGCAAACGTTTCGAGTTCAGTTTTCCCAAATGAAGAGTTTGTGAGTCTCCCAGCTCTTCAACCAGCGAACTCATCCTCGTCCTTCAAACCAATGCTCCTTGAGGTGCTTTTTGGTCATCCAAACCACCATGAAATTACTGGTAGAATGCATAAAACCATCATGTTCTTTGGTGAAACCACCCATTTATAGCTATATCCTCCATAAACCCCACAGTTAACCGTTATTCTAGTTATAAACAGGTCAAAGATATGATAGATCATCACACCAATGATTGATACGGTTATAAGTTATAAACCATTTGTAGATCATAAGTCCACTATACGGTTGAGAATACTGTAGTAAACCATTAAAATCGTAGTATCCAAATGAGAATACCATGGTTGTACCATTGGTTCTTATTTGCAATGGTTGAGAATAGATACCATATTTGGGTACCACTATGGCTTATAACATACCTGTTATTGAACCAATAGGGCCAAGCATTCTTATTCCACAGCGATATTATGATGATAGCACACTTAGCAACCATAATGGTAATAACTATAGATTTCATGATAGATTAGCATTGTAATGGCGATTTCCTATAGTAACTCTATGGTCATCAAACCCGAATGCCTCAGATTTCGAAATTCATCGCATTTCTGGCACGTTGCCCACGTGGCAACGACCCGCCTGGGCCAGGCCAGAGAAGCGCCGGCGACGTTGAGGCGCTGGCACAGCAGCTGCCGCGCCTCGGGCATTCTGTAGATACTTCTCTACAGATATAGTAATATAAAGACATTAACAAATACATCAGCAGTATCTCTATAGTGTATAGATGTAGTAATATATATATATTTCTGTTAATATACAGTAATATACACATCAACAGATATTATTTCTATATAGATATACACATCAGATATGTAGATTGATGATGATTGTGGATGTGTAGATGTATAGATTGCAAATATACAAGATATATGGGGGTTCACCAAGAATATCGGTAGGGTTTGGGGGCTACCGGGTGCCAGATATTTTTATACATATATATATATATATACACGCCTACATACATACAATTGATATGGATATGGATGTAAGAGATGTAAATTGATATTTGAATACATAGATACATGTATATACATACATGATATTGCCCTCCAAAGCCCCCTACTTCAAGCTCTCATCGTTAATCGACAACATGTTCAAACGCATCTATTCCAAACCCATAGACATCAAGTCTTCATTAAATTATGTGTATATATAATATATATATATAATTGACCACATTTTCGAATGTCTCTGCTTGCCATAGTTCTGCAATGTCTTGGCTATATCCAAATTCCTCCTGACTGGCAGCAAAAGCTTTAAAAAGTACACTAAAAATGGTCTTTGCCTCCTGATGGATTTGTTTGGATATCAAGCGTTCTAACCAGAACTCTGCCCAACTCAGGCAGGGCCAAGTTCACCTCATCCCCAGGTGATCACCAAATCAGTGCCTGCATGTCTCAACTTGGTCACCCTTCATGACAAAACTTGCATCATATCTAAGATTCTCCTGTAGGATAAAAAAAAAGACTTAAAAAAATATCTGAAATAGACCAAAGAAGGCATCAAAATGTGCCCTATACAACGGGTTTCTAATACAAAAAAAAACAATAAAAAAACACGTCTTGGAGGGCAAAGTTGGAAAAGAACAAAACAAAGAGAGACAACAAAACAACAAAAAAAACTTCATGGACTCTTGGCCGACCCCAAAGTCCAAAGTTCTCCAGAACAGAAAGTCTTTCTGTTCTCAATGTGTTGGTGTGTTTTTCCAAATTTGGAACCCCCAAGATTCCCAGAACATTCGACAACTTGTGTTTTTCGTCTTGGTTTTTTGCACCTACAAATACTCCAATGTGAGACCTGTGGATCTTGAATTCGTCCGTTTGCTTGAAACGGCATGCGGCAACTTGAATGTCTTTGGTCTCTCATCGTCTGTTTGTGTATGTCCATGGACTCTTTTGCATTGATTGCATCTATGTTCTCAAGATTGGCTGTCTTACTGAAGATTCTTTCCTCTAAAAGAAGCAGCTGTTTGTCCGAAGAGCATTTATTTCAAGAGGCAGTCTCTTCTTCAAACAAAAATCTCTCATGAACAGTATGCAGTCTTCCTTTCAAAACTTGAGTATGTCTGGGGATCGGATGGGAAAAAGACCACACTTGGGCCTTAAATCCCTTGACACTCTGAGGAAATCCATGATGGAACAAGATGTAACCAGCCAGCGAAGGGGGTCTTCGAAACAATGCCGAGATCCTCATCATATCTGATCCAATCGTCACCCATTGTGCGTGATAAGTTCCACTGATGTTAAATATCCCACCTCCGTTGCCGCAAAACAAAAAACTCATTTTCTTGAAACTCATTTTTGGGATCCACCAAAAGAAAGGCTGAGAAAAAAAAAGCGGCTGCCCTTGAAGCCTTGGTCGACGCTTTTTTTCAATCCCCATGTTCTACAGTGACTACCCCATCTACAACTGGGCCACAAACATGAACCAATTACGATTGGGTGATCCAGTCGACGTAAGGCATGTGAATTGTCGACCGAAATAATCTGGACCCATTTTTTCAGCTGAGCCACAGCCCTCAAATGTGGCCTGCCAGGAGGGCGGGAGGGAAAACCTCTTGTGGAAATTCCAAGAACATCTGGGAACTTCCCAAAAACAATGAGAAGAAATGATGTTTCCCCAGAAAAATGGGATGTCTCCAATGTTTTTCTTCGAAAACTCCCATCACTTCAAGTGATTTTCCCAAAGACACATGCATTTGGTCAAAGGATTTGGGCATTCTAAACCTTCCACTGCAGTTCACAACAAGTCTCCACATGTACCACTGGTATTGCTGTGGACTGATCCATTGAACATAAATCATCCAATGGTTGGGCCACCAATATGACCCATTGAAAAAAAAGAAAGCTCCGTCAGTAATGCTGGTAAAACAATGCCATTTTTACCACCCATGACTGGCAATGGTAAGTTTATACCACCAATAAAAATGATGATGACTATGTTTTACCTAGATTATTCATATTAGGGATGTACCATATTCATATTAATCTATATGGGATCATCCATATTATTCATACTATTCAAATGGTGATGCTTGAGATTAGCTTTGACCCACACCTAGGGATATGTCATCGCTGTTTTCAACCTGGGCAACGACAAAAAACGATGGATTGAAGGGAAAATATCTTAACCGGAAACCTCATGTTATTTACATGTTACACAACAGTTTACCTCTAAAATATAAAAGATGTCACTTTAAAATCTTCCATATACCCTCTGGTAATTTAACATAGCCATGGAAAATTGCCATTTATAGTGGATTTTCCCATTAAACATGGTGATTTTCCATGGCTACGTTAAATTACCAGAGGGTATTCTTTTTATGTTTTCGTAACATGTGTTGAATTCCCCATTCCCACGGAGATAAAAAATCAACTGCGCCTTCCAGGTGGTAGCTGTTGCGCTGCCTGTTCCAAGCTACTGCCACCCAGATGGACTTCGAAGTACCAGACCTACGGAACTTTTTGCGGAGCTCAACGTAGCTGAGATACCGGTATCATCAAACTTTGGATAGGATCAATTTCTTACTGGTGCGTGCTAAACGTAGGGTTGCTGGATGGGTGGGACTGGGGCAATGGGATGATGACAAAAAACGAGTTTGTGATGACTGATGGATCATTCCCGAAGTTTTTCCCTGCGGGCGTTTAGCACTAGTCAGATTTTTAGGGACTTCCTTTGGAAGCGAAGGGATTGAGTCAGGGATAAGTTACACGTTTCATCCGTTCAGAGTGTTATGGTTTCACTTCTCAATCCAAAAAGTGACCACTTGAGCCGGATCACCCAAGCTGTCATCTCTGTGGCTAACCTCGGGCTTCCCATATGGGGGTTTCCTAAAATGGGGGGTACCCCCAGAACATCATCTATATATTTTAATAGGCTTTTCCTGGCTTTTCCATGAAATAAACCATCCATTTGGGGATACCCCCATTTCTGGAAACCAAAAAATATCACCCCGCACCGTGGCATTGTTTCGCGAGGCGTGAAGCAACCTCTGTCGCACCGCCACCTGGGCATTCAGGGGCCAAGTCGGGGTTGGAAACCGCAGTTGATGTGAAGAACTCACCAAAAATATAGATAACTTGACTCATTGATGAGAGTTATACATTGATGATGTGATGATACCGATGATACCTATAAAATCTGGGGATGTGAAGAACTCATCCTCATGTATAATTACCTGGGCTTTTGTCCCAGTTTGTAGCTGGATGATAAGACGCTTTTTGCATCACTTACTGGGATGCTGATAGCTGGTTAGTAGTTGAGCCAACCCCGTAAAGAATATGCTGGTCAATTTTGATCATCCCCGAATGTGGAATATATCTCGAACCACTCGCCAGATAACTCATCAATCAAAGAATCAATGAAACCATGATCCCCAAATTAACACTTCGCGTGACCACGCGTATGCAACTGGCGATAGGCCGCCATATGTGAAGCAAACGACTGGGGTTCCGATTTTGGATAACAAGAATCATTGCAAACGCCGTCCGCAAGGTCTTTCGTAGTAAGGAAGAAACAAAAACACTTATCTTACTGGTGCTTAGCAGGGAATGAGGGAATGATCCATAATCACTAGCAATAATCATCCCATTCCGCCATTCCCATCCATTCCCTACTAAGCACCAGTAAGTTATTTTGCAAACCAAAAACGGAACCCTGGAAATCACAAGACTTGATCGCACCCAGAGGCTTCCAAAAATTTACGATGGAGGCGTTCAACAAAACTATGGGAATGCATCCAATGAACGCCACGAAATGAGAAAAAGTGTGCTTCAGTTTGGTCATTTTTGTGCTACTACTCTTATGCCTTTTTCAGCACCCATTGACTTGACCAAATTTCCCATTGGTCGAATGTCCATCTGGTCCATGTACTAGCTACCATCTGGTTATGACATTCACAGTTTGCCATGGAAAATCACCATGCTATTAATAGCTGAACCATCTATTTCTATGGGCCATCGACAAACCATGGCTATGTTGAATAACCAAAGGCTACATCTGAGTTTCTGCACAGAATTCTCAAACATTGCGGGTTGTGAATCTGTGCTTTTGTTGGTTCAAATCTCCCGATGGGTATCGCTCAAACCTGAGGTGCCCAAACACGGCATGATTTTTACTAAAAATCACCAGCCAATCCCTGTGCCAACGGGGGTCTACCATTTTCCCAAACCATGTTCTGTAGGTTCAATCTTCATTTTTGGGGAGAAATCTCTGTTGACAAATCCTCTTATCGCTTCAATCTCCACAGTTGGTGAGATGAGATCTCCATAGTTTCAAGAAAAAAAGAGTCTGTCAGAAGCTCACATGAGGTTTCAATTTTTGGTTACTTCAGAAGAGATCTATGATTTTCCCATGGAATATGTCACATTTTTTCGAAATCTCCATGGTGTGTTTCCTCCAAAAAATATCACCGGGTCACAGGAGACGCCGATCGCCCATCCGTCCGCGGAGCCGCCCTTGTTGAAGCCATGGGTGGAGTTTGATGACCAAAAAACCTATGAAAAAAGGCGAAGTTTCCATCGTTTTTTGTAAGTTTACCAGAGGGTCATATTGAATGATACATACATATATACATATATACTGGGTATATAATGATATGATGTAAGTTGGACTTTCCAATCAACAATTAGCTGATGATCATATATGATGATAAATGATGATATAGAAGCTTAGAAGTATCAAGCTTCAAAACGTGAAGCCACGCGCGAAAAATCGTTTTTTTGTTGAAAGGACCAAAAGCCTGGAGTCTTTTCAGAGGTTTTATCTTTTGCAAATGGTCTTCTCCCGTCCAAATTCTACTTTGATACAGAGTCATTGGGTTCACGGAATCAGGGAAAACAACCTTGGGATTCTCGAGAAATTCTCAGGGCTCCGAAACAAGAAATTGTGGTTCTCCATTGCACTGTTTGTTATAGGCCACTCTTCGACGAATGCCTTCCTTCTTGGGGTTCGTGTTTTTGTTGAATACCAAATTTGATGAGTGTATTCTCCAAGGTTGCTGATCAAGATTGGAAGAAAAAAGTGTGTGTCAAGTTCTGCCAAAAAATCCCATCTTTGATATCGGCATCCCATGTTTTAAGTTGGTCAACTCTCCGCCGCCGTCCCCATCTTAGGACACCACCATGCCATCAGGGCTACACAGAGACCTGTTGAACCAGCGGTCATCCCAGACGGAAATCCCAGACGTACCATCTGGTTATTTGACATAGCCATGGAAAATGGCCCATTTATAGATGGTTTACCTATTATAAATGGTGATTTTCCATGGCTATGTTAAATAATCAGACGTAACCAGTCAATTCCCCCATTTCGAAGCAAAATCAAACGGTTGTTTTCTTCAAATGATTCCTCTATAGCGTCTGTGTTACTTGCATAACTGACATGAACCTCCAAGAAGGCTTCTGACTTCAGGCGGAAAGCCTAGGAAAGGATCTACATGATATCATGTTCTATTACCATCAAGTATGCGGATATCCTGCAAATGTTGCATTCAAATCTGAAATGACTGACCAAAACCTGGGGTATCGTATGGATTCTGAATTTGGGGATCATTCAAACCAGGGTATGTGGGTATGAGTCAAATTCTAAGGCCATCTGTAGTGCACAAAATAGACTGGTGTTGTTTCCATAGTGAACCTTCCGTTTTTTTTTCTGAGTTTTGCATTTGCAGATCATATGATGAGATAGCCTAAGAGATAGCTGAAATGGCCATCTCACCGATGCCACCGATGCCACGATGCGATCCCTCATAGAAAAAATAAACATCAAACATCATCAAACAATCAAAATCGGAGACTGTGAGTCATATAAGGCATATACATCTAAAATCAAAGAGTTCTTGGCACAAAATCCCCCGTCATAGATGACCTTGTCACCCACGCCCACCTTGAAGGTTGATCTGGGAACGCCATCAGACAGACTGCAGTCTTTTTGAAAGATACCGCTACAATCTGAAGTGAGATGCGTCTGATATGTCAGCAAAGTCTTTTCTGGTGTGAACTTGAAAATGTGCAGGCTGTGCAGGCAAAAAATAAAACATAGAAAGCTCAAGCTGGAAAACTGATGACCGTACAATCCAAGCATTTGATGCTTTGTTGGAATGGCACCACAAGAAAGCTATGAGCAAGCTGCAGTCAAGTCTAGGGAGCAGCACTTTAAAAGATCAAGAGTTTCTGAAAAATGCATCCCGGCCCTAAAGACGTGGATTCGGTGCGACCTAAACGCCAAGAAAGGGACAGGACTGCATCCGTGAGGCTCAACGGCCAGCTTTCGATTGGAGAAGTTCAACGAATTGAGATGTCTCCAACCAGACTATGAACTGGTGAACAACATGGAACCAAGCATCAACTGGTGAAAAATGACTCATTCACAGCCCCGGAGCAAGGGCACAAGTATCCTAAATGGAACACTGGGAACATATTTCTACTTCAATGGTCTCTCAAATGGTCATAATCCCATCCCAAATTGAGGTTTACAATTCAGTTACTAAGCACTTGACCCCTTGTTGACGTTAGAGATCACACCAGAAAGATTCGAAAACATCACTGGAAGGCGGGACCGGCTTGAAATGAGGTCACTTCCCAGTCGCCCTAGTTACCCTAGCTGCCCTGTAGTCACCAGCGGTGCGTCACCATGTGGGCGTTTCAAAGATGGTGAGCAGCACGAGAGCCAGCAAGGCCCTTTTGTAACTCACCTGGAAAATGAGGGCCATGGCAAGGCCGGCTCAGGCTTCGTACACTAGCAAGTGACAAGAAGGCGACACCAATGACAATTTCCCAAAGATTAAGCAATTGCCAATCAGAAACATCAAGAACTACTCCAAAGCCCCTGAATTGAAGCCATCAATTCATATTTGTTGTATTATCATGTTGGTTTCTGAAACAGACAAAAAAAACCGGCTGTTCTTGTCGGTCGTCTCCCCATTGTTGTTGCTTTGGTGTCATGGGGATTCAACGAGACCGGAAGACCGGACTGCCATGTGATGTTCAGCCCGTTCTTGGTGGTTTTTCAGCCAAACCCTAACGCTATCTCCATCAAAAGCACCATGTCCCGTCAAAACTTTCCAACAGTACTATTGCCAATCAGGTGCCAATCAGGTGCCATAGGTGTTAATGTGGCAAAGCCAATTTCAGAAAAGCATGGGTTGTTGGCCAAACCATCCACAGTCATGGTAGGTCCGGTAGCTTGTTGATGGCATGGGGTGAATCCTACACCGTTGCCAGTTATCCAGTCTTCATCTATTGTTGTTGGTTACATACCCATTATTGATCACGATTTTAACCAACAAGAATAGATAAAAAAAAATGGATAACTGATATATAATAGTGACAGTTATATACCCTCTGGTAATTTAACATAACTATGGAAAATCACCGTTTTTAATGGGAAAATCCACTATTCATGGTCATTTTCAATAGCTATGTTAAATTACCAGAGGGTACCCATTACCAGGACGCTGTTGCAGGATGACTAGCCGGGCAACCATCCATGCCGCTGTCGGCCCAAGGCCCATTCCCCCGGATTCCGGCCCTGTCGGCCCTGTCGCCTCTGCCCAGACCTTGAAGCAAAATCATCCCAACTCCCAACTGTAGCTGAACCAATGATATACATGTCTATATATATATGTGTGTGTATAGGATAAATGAATATATTTCTATAAATGGTATTTAAAAAAATATATTTCTATCAACAGTAAACATATGAATATGTATATATATATATATACATATATGCATATAGTTCATGTAATCATGTATTTTGTTCATTTATTTCTTTATTTCTTTATTTCTTATGTCTTTGTTGGGCGTAGATCTGGAGAAAATGGCTTTGTGCAAAATGGGGGATGGATGCGCCAATTCATGGATTTCATGGCCACCTTTCGTCCGGCAAATGATAAGAAATGATGAAAATCTCAGCATGAGATCGATAAGAAATGACCATATGTTTGGACCCATTTTGTATAGAAGAATTCGCCAAGTTGAATCAACCATTCCAAACGAACCATTCCAATTTCCCATAAGCATTTTCGGTGATGTTTTGGGGTGCCCTTTCCAACCATTGTCGTCGGATGTGACGTCGTGGTGTTGGAATTCACCCAGACTGATCGACCAATTCCGTGGATCTAAGGATTTATTTTAGATACAGAAGATTCCATTCGAATGCTGGGGATAAACCATGCGAAATTGCTACTTTTACTGGGGCGATGACCAACAATGATATCTGGGAAAGTAGCTTGGGAAATAGATAATTATAATATAATTATGGCATTTGCAATCCCAAATGGTGTATCAAGGCAACCAGGGTGTCTGATTTTTTATGGTTGTAAACCATTTCCACGACGAGCTCATATGTGCAAAACGGTCAAAAGATTGGATGAATGGCTCCTATGTTCATCCATTTCATAGGACTCCTTACCAGGCAGGGTGGTG